CCGATTGATTTGGACGTTGGATGACCGACTTAGCATTGATTTAATTTCATTGTAAATAAAAAAATGTTATATACAAAAAGAACTAGATTTTCGTGATTTAAAATATCAACGGACAGCATGACTTTTCGAATTTGAACAACTGATTACCAGAATTATAATGAAACTGTGTAAACTATGTAGACTTTATTCAGGTTGCTTTATCAAATCTATAGGTTTTAGTGACAATTACTTATAAGTCCTTAGACACAGATACTAATCACATGAAAAGTATATCGTCAATTAAGTCGCGCTGGGATACTAACTCAATGTACGGGTGAACTACACTAGCTAACTTTTGTGATAACCCCCGTACTTACTGTACATTTTTAAATATGATAAAGATTTCTGTTTACAATCCGAAATATAGTGTTCAATTATGCTCCCCTGAGACTATCAGTCTTTATTATATATAGGCAAGACCTTGTCAAGATGAAATACTTAATTAATTGGGTTATCTAGTACAAAGATGTCATTCATGCAAATAATTCTGATACTTCCCTTAGTTGTAGCTACTAAGCGTTCTTTTTATATGACAGAAAACAAAAACTTAAACAATGTTCAACAGTCACAAGTGGACACTGGTTGTAGTACCGACAAGTAGCTGAATTAGACCATGGGGTTTTTTATGCTTGACTATTTATACGAGTATAGTATTTTGTGAAATACTTGCCATCTAATCAAATTTGTGTGAGGGCTGTGATACTGTCCGGGTGCCAAAACTGAAGCAGGTGGTTTTCTTAGGGGGCCACACCCGGAACCTTTGACCTAAGGGTCTGATCCACAAGGCAGTGGAGCATCGTAAGGAGATGCAGTCCTACGGTAGCCGGTGACCAACGATTGGTTCATATGCCATTTGTTCTATCAGGATACTGGAGCCCATGTGCACTATTGGTTTGGAATCAGGGTTCCCCAACCCCCCTGGGTGGACTCTCCGTGTCCGTGCTTGACTAAAAAAACTAATAGTCATTCTCTGTAATATCTGGTAACGACATATTAACGTCTCTGTCTTAAGGGGAAATAATTGAAAAGCCTAGAAAAATACGGTTGATAACTGAGTAAAAATAACGCAGTTAACCAAGTAAAATACCATAATAGACTGTGGACTCTATTTTCTCAAAAATCAATAGCAAATTTTATCTAGTGTAAAACTAGATCAATATTATGACTTTTCTGGGTTACCACAGTAACACTCACTATTGTGACCCTCTATACTTTAGTATTATTGTGACACTTGCAACATAGGAACGCCACAGAATTTCACACCTAGTTCCATTGGTTACTTTACCTTGCGAAATAATATACAAACTGAGATGTTTACTTATCTCACGATCTTCACGTGAGACATCAGAACTCCTCAGAAAATTATATTCGTATACAGCTTATAAATATTAAGGCGTGATCTTATATCAGTCGTTCAGTTTACCAGGTAGCATAGATATTCGTAACAGAAGAATCCATATTCGTCCTTACTTCTGACGTTAACATTATATAAAACACAACTTAATTATTTGGAGTGAAACAATAAGAATGAGATATTAATCAATGACAGCACTGGAAGGTCTCTCTATCTAACAAGTAGGTTATATAAATATATTTAGTATCTGCTTCCATAACAGTAGATACCAAATACGGGATCCGTGACAACACTTCTTTTGGTAAATTTGTTCACATGAAAATAATATACAAAGTTTGTATATTTTTAGATATAAATCACCAAACTATCGGGGAATAAATATAATGATAACAATGTACACATTGACAAATTTAACTACAACATAAATTCAAAAAAATCGACGCCCAGAATTATTCGATGAACCAGATGGTGGTCCAGAAGTGTTTGAATGTCCATGTGAAGAAGGTATGTTATTTGCTGACATGACAAGTTTATTTAACTGTTGTTGTTGTTGTTGAAAAGCAGCGGCTAGAGTTGCAGATGTTAGATAGTTTAATGAGCTTAGATCAGTTGGAAATGGAGTTAGTCCTGGATTCAAAGCAATAGAAGAGCCAGTATTCGATATAGATGGTGAGATTGTTGAGTTTGAAGCTATTGATGTAACACCGGACGAAGATGAATTGAACTGTATAGATGTACTTGTATTGTTATTAACTGAATTTCTTAAAGAATTATTTTCTATATTACGACTACCTGTAAGACATTTACCAGTATTTGTTACGGTAGGTGCGTTGTTATGAGATGATGTAGATGTTAGATTTAGCATAATGAGATTATTTGCATTAATTTGTTGTTGATTAGTGAACCTTGCTCCTTGTGTTGATGAAATATTAGCAGTATAATTAGGTGTCAATAACTAGAAATGAATAAAAAGCATGAAAATTTATAAGTATTAAAACATATGAAGCAAATATTAAATGTATGCACTTCGAATATCTATACTCAAAAGATCATCCGTATTATTTATTTATTTATTTATTTGGACACATGAATATTGGTACAAGAGAGCGCCAATATATATGTGCCACACAAAACAATGAAAATTCGAGAGGAATACAAAGAAAGAAAAAAAAAGCTAAGGAGCGCAACAAAAAAAAGAGAGAACAATAACGAAGAGATTGGTGTAAGGTAATGTGCTAGTAATCAGGGAACGCAAAGGTACAATCAGAAGAAATCTTTCAGGTAAGGGAGACAGAACCACTTTTTATGAAGAAAGTAAAAGAAGGTTACAGCAGGATCGCCACTGGCTTCTATTCTGAGCCATATCTGATAACGTCTCTAGCCACTGTGTAGCACCATCTCTCAGACCCCAACCAGGGAGTCGTGAAGGACCAACAGAAGCCAGTCCTTTGCAGCTTTCTTTCATGCCACGACACCATAACATGCACTGACCACCTCTCCGCTTCTTCCAACCAGTCCCAGAGTCGGCAAATAATGCACGACGTGGAATTCTCTGGGACGACATTCGGAGAACATGTCCAAGCCACCGAAGTCGGTGTTTCAAGATGGTGACACCAATTGAATTATCATCTCTGTGCCCGAACACACGATGCCGAACCTCTGCATTACTGACATGGTGTTGCCACTGAATGTCAGCAATCCTTCGGAGACAGAGATGATCGAACACAGAGAGTCGTCTAACGTCCTCAACTCGGAGAGGCCAGGTTTCACAAGCATAGAGCAAAACTGCTCTCACCGACGCGTTGTAGATCCGACCTTTTACGGCCAGACTAACATCACGAAGGCGCCATAGATGGCCCAGATTGGCATAAGCCGCTCTGGCTTTCACTATTCGTGCATTGGTCTCATCACTCACATCACTACCAGCACTAACACAGCTACCCAGATACACGAACTTCTCGAATACTAGTATTCGCTCACTACCCAGGGCGAGTGCAGGATTAGAATCCTGCCAGTCTTGTAGAAGTACTTTGCACTTCGAAGGTGCAATGCACATACCATACCTACGGACACTGATTGCCAACTGATTAAGTGCGGATTGCATGCCTTGGGCATTATCGCACAGTAAGACAATATCGTCCGCATACTCAAGGTCGAGAAGTCTTTCTCCAGGCAACAGATCCACACCGCCATTACCTACATCCATCAGAGCTGTTTCCAGAATGTCATCGATGGCAAAGTTGAAGAGGAATGGTGAGATTGGGCAACCCTGCCTAACCCCACTGCTCGAATGGAACAATGGAGAAAGGTGGTTGTATGCCCTCACTCCGCCTGAGATGTTTGTATATAGGGCTTTTAGGATGTTAATAAACTTCTCAGGCACACCCTTCTTCAATAGACTATCCCAGAGAACAGTTCTGTCCAACGAATCGAAGGCAGCCCTGATGTCAAGAAACACTACGATTGTTGGCCTTTGATAAGTATGGCGGTGTTTTAACATTTGGCGGAGGGTGAAGATATGATCAATACATCCTCGCCCGGAACGAAAGCCAGCCTGCTCCTCGCGAGTCAATCTTTCTCGGGTTTTGAACAACCTACGAAGTATGACGGAAGCCAATAGCTTGGACGCAATCGGAAGTAGACTTATCCCCCGATAGTTGTTACAGGAACGACGTGAACCCTTTTTAAAGATATGGACAACTATCGACTCATTCCATGACGTTGGCACACTCTCTAGTTCCCAAACCTTTGTAAACAACGTCGTCAATTCCTTAATCAGAAAGTCACCACCATCTTTAAAAAGAGCCGGAGGTAAGTCATCTGGGCCAGGTGATTTGTAACGCTTCAAGAGTTGGAGTTCCTTGCGGATTTCCTCCTCGTTTGGTGGATCAGTCGTCACCGGCCATGGAGGGCAGGACAGTCTGACTGATGTTGCCGGAGCAGCAGGCCAGTTGAACTGCCCTTCGAAAAATTCTGCCCACCGTCCAAGACGTCGAGGGACGTTAGTGATTGGCATCCCATCATCCTCGCAGATTGTTTCACTCACACCAGACTTCTTGCTGCCAGTGGCTCGGATGAGTTGGAAGAGCTTCCGGTAGTTACCAGATGCAGCTGCTGCTTCCAGCTCATTAGCACGCTTCGACCACCAGGCTTCTCGGTCCTTGCGCAAGCTTTGCCCGATTTCCTTACATAACCTCCTTCGTTTATGGTCAAACTCACGGTCACCCGGAGTAGACCGACGGGCTTCAATGAGTTGTAAGGAACCAGAAGAAACCCAGTGCTAAAAAGCGGGACGTTTCGCAAACCCACAACTGACTGTTCCCGCCATTTTCATGGCGTCATGCAATTGCAACCAATGCTCATCTATACTTTTCGGTGTAGTCCTAATATAAATAAGTTTTATAAACAACATAGCCCTGAAGATAATAGGCTATGGATGAAACTTGAATAAAGAGTTATTCAGATTCATAAATAAACGATCATTATGTCTCAAACCGCACAGGCGAGAAATCCGAAAGATAAGTCAAGTGTGGGTATACTGAGTATTATATATATATATATATATATATATATATATATATATATATATATATATATATATAAGTTATGAGTATCAAATTAAATGTCTTTAGGATATGAAGTAATGGTAGTGTGAGACAACAGGGAAATGTCAACCAAATACCTAGACCTCGTATAGCACTTGAGTTCATCTAATGGGTCACCGATTCTACTACGGATTTTCTTTGTTCTTTCCTACCACCAATGTCAACGTTTTTGTATAACTTTTCTTCTGGGACTTGTGAAATGGTATCCGTGGTTTCTTGAAACCATGATCTTAACCTTGTGCCTATTTGAAGGGAAGTACCAAATTATTTATATAATGCACAGAGATACTGATACAATCAGACACTAAATAAGAATGCGTTCGAGTGAGAAATGTTGAATTTAAGCATAGGGTATTTGGCAAAGATGGAAAACTAGTTGATGAGGTTATTAATATACATAAAGATAGTTAGGACATCTGTTACGCATGTCTAACCACCGGCTACTTTGACAAGAGATGTTTTCCAATATAAGAGTAGGTTGGGAGAAATCTAAGGGTAGCCAAACCAAAATATGGCGCCAGTTTGTGAAATTATTGACTGTTTGTCCGAGCCACGTCGGCAGATGCAGGCTACCTGGTCGGGGTCTGGATAATAATCACGATCAGCAGTTGAAGACTTCGTATGAGATGGCTGAGAGTCATTCACAGTGGTGTAGTACATTTACTTTTCATTTTCTTCTCTATCTTGAATTTCAGTATTCATTGATACATGCCTTTCAAATCTGTATTTTAGAATCTTAATCCAAATGCTTAATCTTTTTCAACGTCGTTGTCATTGATATATTTTGCTATTTATCTTGTTGACTCCATCTCGTCGTTCCAATATATGGCAACTTGTGCCAATACACACGTGTCAGGCTGCAGGATGATGACTGACTGAATGACCCCGTGAAAACTCCGGAGGATTGGATACTACACTGTCTGTCTACACTACCAGTAACTGTACTTCGAAATAAAAGGCTAAAGCTACTGTTTATTCGAGAGTTTGAATATTCTGATTATTAATATTAAGAACTACATTGAGTCAGTTCCCATTGGCTCCCATTGCCTCAGAGTTGCCTTCTAGGTGTGCACAGTGTGAGTAAATGCAGTCTTCAATACCAACAACGGGGAGATTTAAACCATCATAGATACGAAAAGTCTGTATCTGAGTTGACCGCTTAATGATAGAAATGTTAAAAGTACATTTAAGGACTATCCAAAGGCTTAAAGACGCCTGCAGAAAATTTCCAGCCCTAGGTAATCTGGTGTTATCTTCATTCTACTGAATAAATAGCAGAGTGTAAGTGTAAGTGTTTATGGATTTCAATGTTTTTAAAACTAATAAATTGTTAAAAAAATCAAATGTAAACTGACGAATGATTACACAATGATTGGTCAGCGGTATGGCAGAAAAACACAAAGTGGTAAAGACAGAGATGATAATTATATGTGTAGCGATGTTCAAATTTCAAAATTCAGCAGTCTGTCCCTTAATCATCTAATACTAAGTAGATCACTGATTTTATCATTTGCATGTTCGCTTATTGTTGGGCTGATATGAATTGAACCATATTGGGTCGAAACACAATCTCATTATTTGATATTCCTTTTGTCTGTAATTTATTATTGGGATAAATCGGGAAAGTTTATTTCAGGCAAAAATTAGTCTAAGATATTATGGGGTGTAAAACCATATACGATTGAATCTAAAAAAGTTGGTTTTTATTTTTAAACCTACTAAACTAACACTAATTAGCATCTGTAGCAAGACTTGAGGGTATCAATTTTGATTAAAATGAATTAGTTTCTTAATGATTCTTCGAAAGGCATCGCTCAGGAATAGAAATGAAACCTGCTGGAAGATATGAACAAGCAGCTTTAGGGCGAAGTTTCCAGTAATTAGTTGCTTGAAAAGACAATAGCCAACCTAAAAGACAAGCACTAAGTTCGAACAAATAAACTGTGTAAATGAACTCACATGTGAACTTTCCATATTTTGTGCACCAGAAGGACCACGTGCTGGACTGTAATCAGCCTGTGTCATATACTTCGACAAGTTATGCTGTTGCTTTTGATGAGCTTGCTGTTGAAGTTGGATTTGCTGAGCAGATTGCCCAGTAGTAATGCTTCCTCTATAACTGATAGGGGCTGGTGGTAGTAAAGGGCTACCAGATATAGGTGTTGATGAAGGAGTAGAAGTAGTTTGAGAAATATCCAAATCTGAAGTGTTACCACTCAGTAATGGAGATATTAGAGGATTTGAAGCATTCAGTGAACGTAGAATTTGATGAGCTTTCTGTAATTGTTGATTACTGGGTAAGACATTTTGTTGGTTTATGTGATTTCCACTATTATTATTGTTGCCGGCAGCAGCTGCTGCTAGTTGAGCTAAGCACACTTTTGCGGTATCTAGTGTGGAGCTGGTAAAATCAAAATCTGCAAAAACAAAGTAAAATCAGGAAGTAGATACGTTTGATTTACATGGAGTTTAGTGTGACTCCTATTACTAACTTATATTATTACAATTCATGGGACTGACACATTCATAAGAATTACTGATACAAACATACTGAAAATATTGAGCCAAAAATGACTAATAAGAATTCGATATTCGACTGAATTGGGGAAGGTCGACAAATGAATGCCAAACTTTTTTCAATTGCCCAAATTTCAAAGCAAAGCTGATCAATATGTTATTCCTAAACAGGAATTTTCGCAAAACTATAATCTTACTTTTCCTTAAGAAAACTCATTTTCAGCTCGCTCATCTTTTAAGTGAAAGCCAACTGACAAAATAATAAAATCTCATCGGTCAGATTATAGTTGACTGAATTGATTTAACGAGTGAGAAAAGTAAGCAGAATGGTTAATTTTTTCACCGGCGACAGTTAATATATTGTAGTAAAACATCAGGATGATTTATTAATTTACCGAAAGTAAGCGACAAAAAATGATGAGTAGGAGGAGTCTTTCATCATGGAGACTTAATTCACAGTATATAAGTATAGCAGTGACTTTGCGGTTAAGACGTTCGACTCTCGGTCACTTTTTCCTCAGTCTACTTCGGTTTGGGCAACCGAGTGGTACCATTAGCCTCAATAGTTAGCGTGGCTTATTAACAAGTACCTGGTGAATGAGTTCACTTTTTAAAAACTCATTTTCCTTTTGCAAAGTGAAATAAGCATAATGTATAAACATTTAAAATTCAGTTCCAAAATAAATATCTCAAACATATCTGACGACGTTGGATTATAAATGCTTGAAACTTAATCATGTTTTCCGCTTAAACTGTGTAGGATATAACTCTTTGTGAAGTCAGGCAGTGTCACATTCATAAGGAAATTCATGACCATAAGTAAATGCTTACTCAACTTACTAGGATTATGATGAATGGATACTGCAGGGTTCTTGGACATATTGGCTGACTGAATTAAGTTTTGATGATAAGATAAGTTTGAGTGCATGTTTCCCGATGAAAGTGCTGTCATAGTGTCACGGTTTTGATGACCATCTGGGAAGGAAGGAGATGCACGACTGCTGAATGTAAAGTTTGGGACCAAATTTCCACTTGATATTGGCGGTGGATTCGATGATAGATGTGCTGGGAGGGAACATAATCCTGACGCAGCAAGAGCAGCAACAACTTCAGCAAGACTAACAGAGGAATTGGGATATGCTATTCCTAAGGAATTTCCTGTAAGAGAAGATGAATTCGCCAAGGAGGCAATCACATTGAAATATGCAGCTGCGGCGGCTGTGGATGGAAAACCCTGTAAATATAATAAGTAGCTGTTTACAATTGAGCTTCATGGACGCCCAGTCAAAAATACAGATTTTCAACAATTAGGTAAGAATAATCATAAATATAAAGAATATCAATATGTGTAGACTGAAAGATTGCTTCGGGATAGTTTTTTCGACTAAGAAACCGATACTTTCCAGTGGTCTGGACAACCAAGATGTATTACATACATCTAAGAAGACGATGAGTTTGGAAAATGATGGGTCAGATGTGGGAATATATAAATTGCTGACGTAACCACAATACTATTATACGGCGAGTTGAATTTCTATGTATTTGATTCGGGTAGGAAATAGGTTTCATGAATGAGAAACAAAAGTAACCTGATACAATTATACATCTGACTACAGTAAATGAGTATGAAATAAATAAAAATAAGATATTAGGGAGAAATAAGTGAGTAAACAAGGAGTTAATAATTGGAATGCAATGCGATCCTTAAGATGTAGAGAAACACCATTGGGGAATGCAATTAAACTTTGAATACTTCCATAAAATGTTCTGGTACGGTAGGTGAAGTATAATTCATTAAATCCTGAAATAATTTGACATGGTTAAATTTTATTATTACTTTCATGTTTTATTGTATAGTCTAAGGGGACATTCAGCTTTTCAGCTTGATCAGTAAACATAACATGTTTAAAGAATTTGGAGATTCTCAATGCCGAAATGGACTTGTAAATGGGCTTCAGGATCTTAAAGTAACGAACCCCCATCAAATCCTACACATGGGATTTCTTAGCTCGGATTTGAATTAAACCTATCAGTTATAAAACGGTCTCCGAACATCGCGACAAATGCACTTCAAAAATTCATCCATATTCGCTCCAGGAATTCAAGACCAACAATTCTGTCGGTATATTTGTTATGTAGAATTATGTCATCTGGGTACGGCAGGTTGATAAGTAAGAAGATAAGTTTTTGAGAAGCAACGGGACTTTATCAATATCAAACCCGTCAGGGACAATAGTACTCACACGAAAAAGCAGTTTATGTCATAAACTACTCTATTCCCTTTTATCAAACAAGTTATACAATAATAATTTTTGGTATGGCAGGGCACTAAACACAATAAGCCATAGAAAGGGAAGTGGTAAAACCATGGTGTAAATAGAGATTATGCAATAAATAAACTGGAGTACTATTTATTATAGGGTACGGAACAATGAAACATACAGACAAGATAGATGCAATTTAGTTGACATTTCATCTTACTTGCATGAAGATCTAGTGGAGTACTACACAGGACCGTCAGTGGCACTTATTTCGAGCCCTGTCTGTTAAGCAACTTGAAGTAGTGGGTTGTGTAATATCTAGAAATCCATCTAGCGAGCAGTCAAAGACCGACAGCTGTTAGACCTACACAGCTAATTTTACACCATGGCGCTATGTCACAGTGACATTTCTGCTTTAGTAACGCGTTCCAAATCCTCACAAATATCAATTGCTGTGGAAGATACGAGAATGCAATTGGTCAATAAGTGAATAAGTGTTATTTCAGTATCTTGCGAGACATCGCAGTTCCATTTCAAAGAGTCAAATGTGCAATTTTTCATTTATTAAGATTCAAGTATCCTAACTGTCAAAAAAGCAGTAGAGCTGAGTTTTCGGGTAATAGGCACTTATGAACGTTTGCGCAAGCACTTCTATCAGCAAAGGCTTTGGTACAAGTGGAACAGGAATCTCAGAGAACGAAACGCGAATGTACAGTGCTTTAACAGGCTTGGTGGATACGGAGGATCCATTTACGTGAGTTGAAAAACCCTGATCTCAAACAAGCGGTGTACACGGACTCTAACGTCCTAAGAAGACAAATAGCGTATGAGCTTATTGTTCGCCACCGGTCACCATTGGAACTGCATCTCCTTACGTTGCTCGTGGACTAGGCGTCCAAGTCAAAGGCTCAGGGAGTGACCATCTAAGAAAACTACCTGTTTCGGTTTGGACGCCCGGGCAGTATCTCACCCCTCACACGAACTGAATGACTTATGTGGCACATATCTACTTGGTGCCTCCTTGCACTAATGTTTATATGTTTGGATAAGAAAATATTGTACAATAAAATACAAGGTTAAGGAAAATGTCATCTGGCCTAAAGATGTTTAACGCTGCTGACGCCACTAGTTGATAAACTTTTTCTCCATTTCCTAAGATAGGGAGTAGTTTTATTCGGGTAAAAATCGGCTCACACTACATTTTCTTTTAGAAGGACGGGGTAATAACCTAATTAAATTTCGGCTAGTATCCCTTCATTCAGCACTCATCAAGTTTTTTTGAAATATTCAGTCTATAGTGACCTTCTGGGTCATATATTTGCGAGTTTTGCATGGCAAAGAGTGTGACTGAACTAAGTGTTTGAGGGGAGATGAGGGGCACTATTACACACAAATAGTTGTAAGACTAGTCATACATGAAATGGTTATGGAGAAATAGGCAAATGACTTATGATTTGATTATCTACCCATACATTCCTAGTTTAAGAAATTTGTGCAGCCAGTGAGCCAACAGGTCATATAAAACTATGAGTTAAAATAAACAAACGCTGACCGGATCAGATGACGGCATTGACCTTTGTTGTGCAGCTACGGCAGCCGCTACTGCAGCCATAGTGGCTGACGGATTATTTGTTATTGATGCCAAACTTTGCTGCATACCTAGCCCCGTTTGAGTTGAAATTGTTGTATGAGTCGATTTAGACCCATTTAAGCCAAATAAAGACGGATGATGCGGTCTGTGAGGAGACTGAGAACCACTCAAGGTTTCAGAATTTATACTAGATATTGATGCAGATCCATTAGCATTCAAGTTATGTTTTGGCAGAGAGACATGTTGGACAGCCTGTGGTTGCATTGGTTGTCCTGTAGGTAATGTAGTTTGGGGCACCGTAAGCCGATTTTGCGTGTTAGTATTGTTTGGTTCCAAACCGAATTGAGTAGGTGGCATACCTGCTAAGTAAGCCATAGTTTCGCTGAGGAGGAATAATCTCGACTAAAAACACCTTACCTTTTTTGTTTTTCACGAAGACTTGTCTCCTCACTGGCGATTTGTTTTAGTCGCTGGAATAGCTCATTTCTTCTAGATGTGAGTTCTTCTATGCGTTTACGAGTTACCAAAATCTTAATTCCTGTGTTAAACTTTTAAATAACCGTACCTCTTTTTTAGTATTTTCTAAATTCTCTGTATCCATTTCGGCTTGTCGTTTAGATTCTTCCCTTTCACGTCGTAAACGCTTAACAATTGCGTCTTGTGCTTTTTCTAAAGAATCCCAAACTGTAAATGTTCCAGCTATAGGTACCTTCTTGTTCTCGCTTTCTTTTGCTCATAATATATTTCTTCAGTTTCTGGTACATCGCTTGGTTAAGCTTATGTCTTTCTATGTTAACGGTGTTCGGCATTATTAGAGCAACCTTGAGTTTCAATAATGGCGGGTCAAGACGAACAGAGCCTGCAAGTTCAATATTGTACCGGTGTCACTGTATTTGCAGGAGAGCGTTTCATTGTGCTAAGTATGTATAAAACTACTTAATTTTGCATCGCCTAAGTTCATAATTTACTCATACTTATTCATTTTGTTAATGATAAGTAGCTTTTACCGTTTTATTAGTTATATTAGTCCACTCAATACCTTATGGCATAAAAGTCACTACATGAGTGTGATAATGTCAAACTGTTTTTATGATGAACCAGGTACAAATCAGTTATCATAGTCCCATCGTCAAGGAAATGTATTTCAGTTTCGTCTTATAGACTGGACCGTCTGAACGATTAAACGGTATATAAAATACTACCACTGTAACATATGCTGTTGAGAAAAGACGACAAAATTGGCGTCATCGTTCAAATTAATGAAAAATAACAATCAAAAATCAACTTCAAATGAGTATTTTGACAGCGGCTGATACATTATAAAGTCTATCTGGTGAGAGAATAATAGTGAAGTAATATAATTTTGCAATGTGTCGGCTGGGTATATCTAGTGCAGCACTACCTGAATGAAATCACCAAGAAAAACTGTTCAAAACGCTATTAAATATCAGCGAAATAATCTTACGAGAGCAAACACTATATTTTAAAAGCACGTTTTCCAATTTGATCGATAGACTCATTGGAAAAGAAAATTGAACTACATAAGAAGACTGAAATACTCTTGAAGTTCTGATTTTCATGGAATGTTTCGAAATTTGTGCAAACCGGGGCTTGAATTGTGAATTGTTAGGTGAAAGATGACGGCCCTTTAAGGGAAATGGCACTTTATCATCATGGAAAACTATGAGTAGTTAAGTTTAACGACGAGGGCTCAAAATAGTTCAAAATGATTTTAGGTAGGTTTGAAGATAAGACGAGATACACTGACTTTTGTTACCGTATGTTGAGTGACCAAATACTGGCCTACGGTGTATCGAATAGTGAATTAGACATCAATGTCTTACTATTTTCCTCGTTTATAACCAATTGCTGAGAGGACGTTTCTGTAAAATTGGATAACTGAAACAAGGAGGTCTACGTCTGGAGCATGATATCTCAACCTGAGCTGTGAAATGTTATAAATTACCGTCATAAAACATGTTATCAGTAACTTCTGCTGACACACCTAGGGTAGGCTGAATTTTTGCGGCGTTAAAAATCAAATATTGCAACGTAGGCAACGTCATCTCAAATCTTTTCCTTTGAAGAGTAAACATTGCTTGATATGAGTGTTGCAGTCCTGATAGGAGTATTCTTACTGAAAAACGTGTTGCCAGAAAACTGTATGAAAAAAATCAGCAATCCGTTTAAGGGTTAAAACTAGAATTAGATGCCGGCGAAAATGATAACAATATTGTAAATTTTCAGGTAATTTTCGAATCTGCAACATCCAAGCTAAAGCTTGCTAAAAAAGCGATCACAGAACCATGTACACATAGACTCTTTTAGACCGTATGTATTCGTCAAAACAGAAACTTGAAAGAGTCAGTCTATAGACAACAGGGAAATTGATTTCGGAAAATTCACGATAGTAAGAGCTGGCAGAATCAAGGAAATTTTAGGAGGAACGTCTACATCCAATATAAACAATATCCCTTTTACTATTTCTAATAGCATAATGAATAAAACGGTAACCTACAGATTAGTTAGTAGCCGCAAAATTGATTCGCGAGTTCTGTCTCCAAAAGATGCTCGAGTTAAAAAACTAAGAACTATTGCCCAGTTGAAGTTTCGGACATATTTCTGCGTTGGACAATTTGTCATCTAGTATTTTAAGATTTCTTAATAATGTATTTTAGAGAAACAAGTGAACAAAAACGAAATTTAAAGCGTCAAACGTCCTGGGTAGAATAGAGGAAGCTTTAACTTACCAGGCCTCCATACCTAGTAGCAGTAGATCATCTATTACCCTAGGTAAGAATATGGGTATATTTTATTATAAAAATGGAAACATTGGTAAATTTCATTGAAATGCTCTCCTGAGTCCTTGAGAATATGTCACGTTTTATGTTTGGAGGACTCATGGGAAGTCACACGAACGAGATCGACCAGCAGCGAACTATAGAATATGACTACTTTTAAGGAATAGGAGGTGTGTACTCAGTCCGTTCTGCTTTGATGTGTCTCCAGTGTCTGGGTGTTACCTTTAAGATTTATGTTAGAAGTGAGCATAGGTGGGTATTTATGGGGATGTTCAGGAGTGTTCATAGTGTTGTAGAATATTAAAAGGTCACCAATGAGATGCCTATATTGTGATGCGTATAGGTTCAATGGCTTGAGGTGCTGTTTACAAGGTTTGAATTTCAGTTCTTGAACTAAGTTCGTAGCTCACCGTTGGATATGTGTCAGAGTATTCTAATTCCTTTGGAGTGAGGGAGGAAACACGATATTTTAAAGGTTTAAATGGGATGAAATAAGACTTTGAAGATTAAGTGGAAAGTTCTTCTGTCAAACTGGTCAAAATTGCACCTTGACTTTACCAGTTTGAGGTTTTTTGGAGCCTATTTTTGTTCGTGTTCGCGTAAGACTTCAGATAATTGATACGTACCCTAATTTGATTGACTGCTTTCCACACTGCAACTGAAATTTTGGAGGAATAAGAAAATAAACATATTTGTAATATTTGGTTGTTCTTAATAACATAAAGGGAAAGTAAAAGAAGTCTTTCTTTTTGTACACCCGCAATGCGAATTCGAAGGTTGCGGAACAAGAGCTTGGTTGCTATCATATATTTTGGCGCGCGTTCGGCGTCCTAAGAGTGTAGCGGGTTTGAAACTGTAGATTGTTGTGATTGCGTGTTCCATTTATTTCTAGTCTTCCTTGGTCGATCATCTTATTGCTCCGGTTTAATGCTCATATTTTATTGACTGTTACTGATCCCTTTCATTGATAAGTGCAAATGTATGTATGGAAGTATATATATTGCTTATTAGTTATCTGATCTGTCGGCTAACATTTTCCCATCTCCTTTCTTCTTTGAGATTCTTTCTTCACACTCGTTCAATAACAGTCAGCCTTAGAGCTCGGTTAGGATTTATCAGCGCTTTGAATTTACCAAAATAATCGCCTCTGTATTTAAAGGTAATCTCTCAGAATATTCCTGATTGATGATTGTTGTAACAATCATTTAAAAAACATAACTGGAAAGTTTTTTGTGGAAGTTATAACTTTTGAGATGAACTTCTCGGATGTGGTAAAGGTTACGAATAGTTTGGCTGTTTTGTCGTCAAACGGTATTTACATTGCTTCGGCTTCTCAGCACAAAGTTTTTATTCGTATAACAAACACGCTACAAATATTTCAGATATACAGTTGTGTAGATATAGTGCAGAACATATTGTGGTCAGCAGACTCATTGTTCATTCTGATTATCCTGAAACATCGTGGCATAGTCCAGGTAGCAAGTTTTAATATTTTGTTATCTCACGTAGATATTCTCCCTAGAAAATCCGGACTGGACATGCAAAGTTGACGAGGGTTCTGCTGGACTTCTCAATGCTATATGGTCGCCTGATAGCAGACACTTCTTGACAACAACTGATTTTTATTTGAGGATAACCGTTTGGTCAATATCGGAAGTCTCCGTTTCGTATCTAAAGTTTCCTAAAGTGAGTTCTGGTTTTATTTTGTAAACCCTTAGATTTTTCTCTGATTTAAGACAGAGCGGTATCAATAGAGCAATTTTTCTTAATGTATAATAATAAAAAAGTGATATCTGAAAATGAAACCCCTAGATTTTTCGGAAGTATTGTGTTTATTGTATTTCTATCTTCTTGTTACATTAAGTCTATATACGAACTTGATGCTCTACAGTTATTACTTGCTTAGCAGGAGCCACGTAATGTAGATCACTTGATTACTTAATTCATAAGTAATGAAGCCATCTTTACGGTACTTATAAATAATTTTTGTAAATCATGTTTGCTTTTCTTTACCAAGTAAGGTAGTATCACCTGATGACCAGTTCGAGAATGCCGGATTTTGTCATCTTCGAAAATTTCCAGTCATTGTACTTAATTTTCGCTCAAATTCTTAGGTTCATTTGCTTTAATTACAAACCAGTAATTTCTGTGAAAAAGCGTTAACTATGGGACTACTAAATGAGCATTGGTTCATCATTCAGCGGTCAAAAAGTTCCACATATTTCTCACCATAATTTCTGCTTATCGTCATGCAGTAACATAGGTATACATCAAAAGTACTCAACTGTAGAGTTCGATCGGGACTATTCCATTGCTAACATAATTTTCTCTCAACCACATAACAAGTCACTTAATGTAGTTTATTTCTAGTTTGCTACACGTTAAAACATAACATTCAGAACAAAAGTGCCTTTGCGATGCATATCTTTTAATTCTTGATACCAGATGAGGATCTAGTGATTTTATAATTGAACCAGAAGAATTTCTTGTTTAAACTTCCCCTGAAAGTCAATTCTTATCAAATTGTGATATATTCTTGATAGCCATGTAAGCATTTAAAAAGCATATCTTGTTTCAGAAGCATTTGGCAATTATTAGTATAGCGTGTTCTAGCCGATTCATCAAAACAACTTTTATGTAGAGAAACTGCAGTGCTCACCAAAAAATATGTTGGAAACGAGTTTTTTGTTTGTTATCGTTAAATATTTAGTACGGATTGAGGTGTCGTATTAATAGTCATTGTTTACAACGATTACCTACTGTAAGCTCTGCTTGCACTTTATGTATTTAGGCATGTGCAAATAATTTGGCATTTTGTCCTGGTGGTCGTTATTTAACTTTGCTTGAACGACGGAATTTTCAAGATCACTTAAGTCTCTTCGATTGCAGACTTCAGTGGACTATTCTTTGGAACATAACGTTAGAAACTGATGATGCCGTGGGAGTTGTGTGGTCTCCAGATGGACGCTATATCCTCGTGTACGATAACTGTTTGCGATACAAAGCATCTATATACAGTGTTGGTGGAAAACATCTCAATACATATTGTGCTTATAAACCAACACAAGAGCTTCTGGGTATCAAATCTGTATCATGGTCCCCCACAGGGCAATTATTAGCGCTGGGGAGGTTCGTTTGTGTTTTTATTCGTCGTGTTAATTAATTTTTTTAATTACTTGGTTTTAATCTATTATCCCTGTTTGTACACCTAATAAATGTCGATAATTTGTTACTTGGATGATTGTTATATTTCTATCATAAGGCAAAATGCTCAGGTGTTTGCGCTTTATATTTAGTTACGTGTATTAAAGAGCGCTTATAATAAAGCGACAGGGTCTCATATATTTTTACTGCTTACATAAATTAGTTTTTATAACAGAATTTTCTACCTTTTCGTAAATTTCATGTAAAGTACAGTTGGGGTACATAAGTTTATTTCATAGACTGCAAACGATAAGTAACGTCGGCTGATTTGACTTCATACACATTATTCATGGCAAATAAGTAGTATTTTAAGCAGAGTTTCGTTTGTCGTCCAGTATAGTAACACCTTTTCGATGTTTGATTTTTATGCAACACATAATTCTGCGATTTTATGGTATGTATACTTCGAGAATTTTTATTAATTTTACCAATTCGAGAGGAAAACTCCCTTTCTGGCTACATTCTTTATATTAGCTGTACAATTATTGTCACTGGCTACAGTCCGAAATTTAGTAACCAGTTGACTGTGTCATTAAAATGTTCTTAAATAGGGATATGTTGTTTCTAAAAGCGGGAATAGGTTATGTAGTAATATATAAAGCTGTTGGATCATGCATAATACAACAGCAATAAGTCTTTCATGAAAACTAGTTGCTTTATTTTAACCTTAATATTTATCCAAACACTTATTATATAGGATCGATATTTATGCTGGTGGAACGTTCAATTTCATAAGTTGTTGTACATTAATACAAATTTCCGTGAAAAGTGCTTTTGGGTGCTTGTGCTTTTCTTATTATTTTTCCACAGCTGAGATTTTGAATATGCGTGATGGAGTTAAATAATGAAACTTAAAACACTTTCATGGGAAATAAATCTTTTAAAACTCTGGCAACTAAATCAAAATCGCATACTAGTCATTTCGACATTAACAACTTTATTTTATTTTACAAATAATCCTAAGTTCTTATGCTGTAATTTCAAGCACTATATTTGCCTTAAACGGTTGGATTATTGATTTGGATTTATTACTGTAGAACTCGTAGGAAATTTACTGGAAATAATTTTCTTCGTTTCTTTATCTGTGTTTTAATATGATAGGAATTTTTAAACAGTTGAACCAATTTGAACGCATATCACATTTTTATATGAGTAGATTTCACTGAACTATTGTCAAATGAATGAAGGCTAGTATACTTATGCGTAAATGTCCTTTCATCCTTATCTTGTATACAAATGTAATAAAGGGCTAAGCTTTTCGCTAGTGATTTAACCAGTGTCGTTAGTACATAAGGGGTATACTGTTATGGTTTAACAATATTTATGTAGTTTCAACTAAACTAAAACATTCTCATTCTTGTTCATTCTTTTCTTTTTTTCTAATAGCTACGATCAAAAATGTCGTTTATTAAATGATTTCAATTGGACTTGTTTAGCTTGTCTAAAGCATCCTGTTAACAAACCAATCGATCCTTCTCTCGGACTTAGTCCTAATGGCCGTCCTTTGTGTGTTGATAATGAAATTGATGGGGATTTAGAAACATATCGGGCACACCGTATTGATATTTATGAAGAGTTTCGAACAGGTGTTTCGTCAGATTTATCAACCAATTTTAAAGGTCCCCTAGATTCATCTACTGTCCAGTACAAACTACTAAATGATCCTGTTACCATTCAATCAATTAAGCCTGATCCTAACCAAGCATTTCCTAAGGTTAGTAGTAATTATGTAACTTGTTTCAAATCACTATATTTTGATTATGTATTGATAAAGATCAGTTTTGAAGTAGCACTTCATACTTGTTAGGAAAGAAACGAACGCCGAACACTATCGGATTTTTGATCAAGGTGTTCATAAGTCTTCATGTTGTCCGCTTCTAAATTGTAAAAAATTGTTACTTGCATATTATAAGTCGATAAGTGAATCTCCGGTAGGGTAATACTCGTAAAAATTCAGATAATGTAGCTGGTATTTCTAGCAGTATACCTGTGGGAAAATTCCGTAGAACTGGAGAACTCTGACGATTACTACTTAACAAGGTCAGTCCGCCTTAAGCTTTGACTAGAACAATGATGTTTGAATAACAGAGTTTCAGTAGGTTTATGTGCTCCATCAGTGACCACGAACAATCTTTTCGAATCACTTATAGCTCCCGAACTCTAGCTAGCATCTCGGCAAATCTAACTAACGATGCTGAAAAACCGTCCTCAAAGTTTATGCTCTTCAGATCTTCACTAAGACTTAGAAGTCTAATTTTGATCTCGATCCATACTATTAATAGATAGCGAGTAACTAGAGAACAACTGAGGGTAGTTAAGGTGTTTGTTAGTATCTCATTCATCTTCTCAGTCACCTGGTTTAAGACGTCTTATCCTACCACCTACATAGCTGTTAATACCACTCACTACAGTTATGTCTGAGTGCCTGGCTTTCTAAAGGATTCCAGAAAGCTTTCGATAGAACTCATCATCATCTCTGATGTATAATTCGGAGTGTAATTTCGTGGAACTGTGGATAACGTTTCCTAAACTGGATTAACTGGTGCTAGTGTGGATTATAGAGATAGAAAAGAGTTGAATAAATAATGAATAAAACTGTTTGGAAACTCGAGTGCTTCTAAAGGTATGTAGAAATATGATATCTTTCAACCTCCGTGATACTAAAAGTGTATTTTCTGAGCAGCAAGAAAATAAAACGAGATTGATGTTGGTGTCCTTATCAACCTAGGAGCACGATAAAAGCTCAAGGTTAGTCACCAATGACCTTTTTCTGAGCGATTATTTATGCTGTATCAACCTCGTAACTTTTAAATCTTGCCCTTGCGGAGCAAATAACATGTATTCTATTCAATATAGCTTGTTACAACATTCAAAATTTATCACAGCATTAAGGTACCAGCTATGATTTAGATAGTTCTGAGGTTAACATATCCGAGAGAAATATCGATTGATCATGAAATCATTTTCCTGGTGCATTAGAAAATGTAATGTATCATCTATTCAGTACAAAGTAAATCTCAACGGCCATTCTACGGACTTCAACTTATGATTTACACCAACAGTTCTTGAATTCAGTAGCCATCTTAAAACTCGAACTCTTAGTTTCTTACGTATGTACCATATATATCATAATGACAGAACTCAATTATGGTTATTGTCATTTCTAAGTAAAGTTCTTCTTGATTTAGTGCTTACATACGTCCAAGTGTGTGTTAATCAAGTTAATACACCTCTAAAGAGTTCAATCTCATCCGCTGACTTACTGAAAATTGGAAAGCTAACCAATAGGGATGGCTCAATAACCTTTTTTCAATTTCAGTTCAGAATTGATAAAATATCGTTATTTTCTATCAACAGCTAACTAAAAATATTTAAGAGTATAGACGAACACCAGCAAAAAGGTTAGGCTATAGAAATATTAGGTAAGGATGATCCTTTATGGTTATTTGATGCTAAACATGTGAAACGGAATTTTAGGTAGTGATTTTTGCTCGTCAGTATGATACTAGGTATTTTACGCGCTTTCATCGTCATATTAGTGCATGAAAAATATTCTTTTATTTTCAGAATTTCCCTTTTTTTAAGTTATAACGCTGATGCATACAAAAAATTCTGAAACATTTGTAGGTAGGAATTGGTTTGACAGAATTTTCAACAGATGGTCGATTTTTGGCCACACGAAACGATAATTGTCCGGGCGTAATTTGGATCTGGTCAATTGATCGACGTCTAAGTCTATTTAGTCTTCTAATTCATACTAGTGGTTGTGTATCTTCTCTGATGTGGGATCCGAGGTGTTCTGCTCGACTTGCTTTGTGTACAGGTTCAGATGCAGTATTTTTGTGGACACCTCAAGGATGTCTTGCAGTCCAGGTTAGTTTTATTTTATAGTAACATGTTTTACAAACAAATTTTCCCCAATTTATATATATCAATAGGGCAAGAGCAATCATTATCGGTGCTCTCCTTTATCAGGTGATGGGATTGAGTTCTCCAAATCCATCTGAAAAATAACGGATACTCATATCTTTATAGGAAATGGCAAACATACCAATTATATCGGGTATCTCTTATTGTCCAAGCTATTCAATGTCGACAATATAAATATCTTTAGAGAGTTGCAAAAGCCACTGTATTATGTTAAGATATCATCACATAAGCCAACTTTTCAGTTCACATTCCTGTAAAGTTTGTTCTTTGATGAGACAATAAGGTTTTTTCGTTCCAGGCGAGTATCTAAACCTTTAAGCGAAGGGTAGAAAGAGAAAGTCAATGCGCAGTTAAGAAAAGAAATCAACTACTGAAAACATGTGAGGAAAAAAATAGTTAAATGATTCATCCGAAGGGAACAAAAAGCATACGCTGGAATACAAAATGAAGTGAATAGAAAGATAAGGAGAGTTAAACATGAATATATAAACTGCAAAATGGAAGAACTAGAACTACTCTTCTCACAACATGAGCATCACAAAGCATATATAGGACTAAAGGAAATACTATCAATCTAAATAATAAAAACAATGTACGAGGAAACGTGAAGCAGGTAGTAAATGTAGATACTAAAAAGTTACTACCAATAGCTGTTTGAAAAGGTAGAATGTGGCATAAAGTCTAAAAATAAAATAAGCGAAAATGATATCCCCTTTTTCTATGTCAGACGTTGTAAAAAGTCTAAAAAGAACAAAAACTAACGAAACACTGGGTAGAAATGGAATAACTACAGGAACGACAAAGCAAGAAGAAAGCAGACTGAAAGAAATACTCTTTAAAAATATGAATGAATTTTGGATGGACCCAGAAACAATATTACAACACCAGGTAGACGCAGATGTAATCAGCTTATTAAGGAAAAAATCCGGTCAATTATAGAATTATTTTCTTGCTTGATGTAATTGGAAAGATATATGACGGGATTTTATATGACCGTATAAATATAAAGACTGATGAGAAACTCTACTTGATACAATTTGGTTTTCGAAATTTCACATCCACAGCATAAGCGATAATAACTGTTCGACATATAATTCAATGTGCTTTAGTTACCAAATCCCAAATTATACTTTGGCATTCGATACTGTGCCGAAGGGATGGATCAGTAAAGTAATAAATGAACCAAATGTACCCGCAAATATTAAAGGAAATGTTTAACGATTACTTCTAAAACCAAAATGACACTTGATTCGAACGGATTTACACTTGACAATGGACAGAGGTGTCAGATAAGGGAGCAAAGAGGGTCCACTTTTCTTTAACCTTGTTTTTCAAGAAATCCTGAGCGAAACAATAAACAAGATGATACTGGCATAAAGGTGATAGGTAAATAAAACAGTGAATGGATAATTAAGCTTGTTGAATATGCGGATGATCTGTGTATAATCACTAAGATAGCAAGTGGTGCAACTGTGTTGTTAGATAAAAATAAAATGCAAAATTTTCTTGACAAACTCGGGATGAAAATATAAAGTGAAAAAATCAAGGTGATGATCATAAATGCTAGCGGAGATAGAAAAACAGTTAAAATTGAGGAAAAAGTAATCGAGAACGTAAATTTATTTAAATACCTTGGATCCAAGGCGTGTAACAATGGTCTCTTTGAAGAGACCATACAAGATAACTTGCAATAATTCGCATAAGACCAATAAGACTGATCTTACTATCAGTAAATGTCAACATTAGCACAAAGGCAAGATTGATTGAAATGGCAGTAGTATCCACTTTAATGTATGGACTAGAAATAATAGTCTTATGTAAAAAAATGCAACGAGATTAAAAGCCGCTAAATACTATGAAACGTATGATATTAAGAATGAATAACAAGAAAAATTTGACTATAGAAGAATTGAGAGAGATTGTGAAACTATCAAAATCAGGCAAATAGACTGAATGTGTGGTAAACGGACAAAATAAGAAAGGATAGTGTTTTGTTCAAAGCGGTCAAGAGTGTGTTTGAGAATTGTCACGAAAGTACCCACAAAAAATGTGGGTAAGACAAATTCATATCGGTTTTGTGACACCGAAATAATATCTACCAAATGAATAGATAAAAAGCCCGACCATTTTAGAATTAAATAGATTCAGTGAATACGATCCGGCATACTAGAAAAGCGATGATGAAATACCTAAATTGCAATTGTAGTCGATTTTTCGCAATAAATAAAGAAATGTATTGATATTATAGAAGTGATTACGGTTTATAAGATGCAGAAGCTAAGAAAACTGATACATCTGTCATATAAAAATGACTGGCTAAAAACAGATAATTCCCATTTAAACATTAAGAACACGAAAATCAATAGAATGGTTACTAAGAATTCTCAAAACCAGCCACTCACAACAACAGCCTGAAACTGAAAGGAAATCGACGTGATCTGATCAGGGAGATAACTATGCGGTCCTGACAAGTGAAAGAGAGAATGACAACGAACAAAGGACGAGGAACAAGTTGGACCACTGCTCATATGAGGGATGTACAAAGTAACTCTCAACTTGGGAAGGAATAATAAATCATTACTATGTGATTCATATGTGGTCTGCCGTCACCATGAATGTGTGAAGTGAGAGAAAGTTCAAGACTAATACGTCTAATTCACCTTGGTGTTTGTACCGTGTCATCTATGAATGTTTCCAGAAAAGGAAGTCGACTTCACCAACCTTTATGGCTGAAAGAGTCAATAGATTAAATAAAATATTGTGTATATCATATGTGAAAGAACGCTCTACAACAACAAGTGGTTACTTAACGAACAAACTCTGATAATGAGCAATTCTTTTATATATATCGAAAAATCGATGACCCAAGTCTTAGGCTGATATCCATATCTATATTCACAACGAATCTACAGCTTTCTATCGTGATTTGTCTAAATATTAATAAAGCCACAGTAATTTACATATTGTTTTTGAATACTCGGTTTAATAACTGTAAATTGTAGTCACATAGTTTGTACCACAGTCCTTCTACTAATAAAGACACCATAAAAAGCAGCATAAAATACCCAACTTTGTTACATTATTAATAATATATTTTTTGTATAAATTTTTGGATATTCAGGCCCCAACACACTTCAATTTTCTAGTTTCGTCCCTCGTCTGGCTTTCGACTGGAGACGGGATTCTATTACAATCGGAGAATGAATTTTGTCTATGCTATCTAGATTCTGGTGATAAGCTTGAGAAACATAAACCTCTTTGGAAGCCTCCTAAAATCAATTTGTCGACTGGAAAATTGCATCAGTATGAAATAAAAAGAAGTTCTGAAAATGAACCCGATCATTGTCTGCCGTTTAATAATTCTGTTGAAAATGAGGACTGTGATTCTATCTCTAACCCATTTGGTGAAGATGCTCCAAATTGGCTAAAACAACACAGTAAGATATCCTCTGATATCACTGTAAAAGTTCGAAGAAGAAGTTTATCTTCGTGTGATAAACGTAATGCTACGAGTAGAGAATCGAAACCTTCTCGAGTTCTTTCCTCTTTATCAATCTGTCGACAGGCTTGGTTGGCTCCTTCCCCAAATGTAAAACTGGCTAAAAAGTCAGCAATTCAAAATGCTATTACAGCGAAACGATAGTGCTTTTCTGTTAATCTATTTGCATTTAAATACTGTCCGTGGAAATACCGACTTGTTCCTATTTCATATCAGTAGCGATGTTTTGTGTATTCGATTGACGCATTCATTTCACATATTGTATTTGCCATTCATCTAATAATTGTATAGGACTATTTTAAATATTTACAAAATATTGCTTAGTTTTTTCCGGAAAATATTTTAAAACATCACTTGTGTAACTAACTTTCGTTTTTAAACTTCTTTTTATATAATAAACTGTCGTTTTCTTTAGTAATCCTTCAGCAGTACATAGTTACCAAACAAAAATTAGTTGTCAGTGATGGTGATTTTTCATACTGAAATTCCTCAACGTGTATATATCTTCATTTGTAATCGAATGTTTAGTGTTAACAGCTGTAAGAGTCATTCATAAACAAAGTAGGACCTACAATAAATATGTGTTACTCCATGTCTGCACATTATACATCAGCATGGTAAGAGAAAAGTAATACTTAAGTCGTATCATGTATAGTACAGACAATAAATAAAAAAGAAATCAAAGGGAAAAAAGTATTAAATAGAATCATAACTCGAGACTGAGAACAATATAAGGGATCAATCCGCTTCGAATCATGTAAATTATGGTCTTCAGTTATTGATTACGATTATCCTGTGGATCCGTAATGTATGATCAGCACCTAACACTGATCCGCTTCACAGTCCGTAGCTTCATGGCTAGTGTTGTTTTATCATCACCTAAATGCCCTTAACTTTTGTCTAAATCATTCCAATCTTAGCCACCGTTTCACATCGTGATAATTGGATTCTGGACATGTGTATTTCGTTCCAACTACCCTAACAAATGAGGGTTCACATCCTCACTAACCAACTCACTGTCTTAACTAATATCCTACATTTAGCTTCAACACTAATTACTTGGGGGTTCCGCCATATGTCATCACTACTTTGAAAACATATGATCAACTACTTGTAGCTTATTCATATCTTCTACTTTCATAGGTCTTGATTAGCTTCCGTGAGAATTCTCCGTTTACTCGCCTTTTTATTATTCAGGAGCATATTTAGTCTGATCCATATATGGGACAAATTTGAGAATCCAAAGAAATCTTTTTTATATCCGTGTCAAAACTTATCACCAACTGACTCACTAGTTGGGATGAAGCTCCCAAGTTAGTTAGGTGATCAACATACTCAAGTACTTCACATCCTAATGTCCTATTAGTCATTTTCTGCAGACCCTTAGTAAAGTATATTGACTCTCAACGCGCGTTCGATCATTAAAAGAAAAGAATGTGGTTGTATGTTTTGATTAAAGTACAAATATAGTCGGATACTTCCTTCAGTTAGATTGACTTGTGTTTTTGGTGAACTAGGGAATTTCAGGCTGATCTGTTTATTTTGTCACAAGATTTTTGACTTGATTTCTGTTGAATGATTGTTATTTTTTGGTCTTACGTGGAATCCTCTTAATTTTTATTACATCTATATTTCTTTTTATCAAACTGGATCACTAAGATCAATACAGAAGCTATTATCATAGTATATTTAATAACAGGTTTTGTCATTTAACAATAATCGTGCATTATTTTTGTATAGAAACCTAAGGATTCCATTTTCGAAGAACAGTTCTGAAAGATTGTTGAGTTTTTCATTCAGCGGTTCTGTTCTAACGGTAGATGTTTACTCAGTTCACTCAGTAGATAGACTTGGACATATTACAGAAACATCGTGACACATGTATAAGACATTATTAGATGTGCTCATATAATTTTATTAACATGGTGCACCTACTTGTATACTATCAGGTAAACTATTCTGAAAGTATTAAAGTTTATTACTGAAATGTATCACGAACCACTACATTTCTTTTTGCATGCGATTCTAATTAAACAACTCCACTTACCTTATTTCTTGCATAGTTTACGATATATTCCTAAAGATTCCATAAGTGTAAAAATAAAAAAACTGTAATTATAATTTGTTCTGTCTGTATGATATGGTGACTTGAAAGTTACTTCTTCGGTCAATATTGAACCACATATCAAATCATTCGTATTCATACAAAATAAATGAAGAATTAAAAAGTTCATACATATGAATGATATTTATCAAATAAATTCAATTTTTCAACAGTAAAGCAAAATATACTGACAGTTATTAAGAAGTATGTTTGAAAATGATCAAATATTATTTTTAGAATTTTATAATATATACAACATAACATTTAATCAAGACATTTTCATATTCAGAGAGAGGTTTTGTGGATATTATAGTAATTTAATAGTTGAATTCAGGAGTCAATTGAAGCTAGACCAGCATGGAAAACTTGGAAGCACTTGACATCTGTTTCATCCTCATATGGGACTTCCAAGCAATGCACATCCACGATCCTACCTCTCAAGATTCGAGCCCAGCACCTACCGGTCTCACGCGCGAATGCTTAACCTCTAGACGAATGGTCCGGTATCCTTCAACTTCAAATAATGCACGATATTGCATGACCATCCTCCATTGTCTTTGGTAGATAACTGTCTGACACGAATTTATCATGGATCGACTGAAGTGATAAATTAGCGCCATTGAATGTCTGTTAATTGATCTACGCGTTAAGCGTTCACGTGCGAGACCAAAGGTCCTGGATTTGAATCCCATGTGTGAGGTCGTAGATGTATCGCTTCTGAGGTGTCCCATACTAGGACTAGATGACTTTCAGTGCTTTCAGGTTTTCAATAGTGGTCTAGCTTCACTTGACTCACGAGTTCAACGATTAAATTACATTTTCATATTTTAAAATGTTTATCTTTTTTTCTCTGAAAAGAATAAAAGATCTAGTTTAGATGTTTTTAGATATAAAAGAATTCCATGGAGTTGAAATTAATGAAGTGTTATTTTCAAACGAATTCATATTAAGATTAAAATTAGATTGTGAATTATGACTGATCATTTCATTTTCATTAGATTTAGATGATTGTAAAACTACTGAATTTATAGGGATTTTTATTTGTTCTCTTATTACTTTGTCTGTTGTTTTCGTATTAAATACATAAGAACTGTTTAATGATAATGATGAAACAGTTGTTGTTAAAGATGGTGATGATGTAGATTCTGTTGAATTCTTTGATAATATTGAATTTGAACTTGTTGAATGAGTTGAAACATTAATATAACTGGCTGCAATTGCAGCGGCTGCTACTGCTGCAGCATTCAATTGTTGATGATTATTTTCAATGTGTTCATTTTTAGAATCAGTTAAATAAGTATAATAATTTTTATCTAATTTATTTTTTTGACAGAATTTTGAACATGAATAAAAATTTGTAATTGGATAGTTCAAATGTCTATTAGATGGTTTATTATTATTATTACTATTACCATTCAGTAGTAAATTCTCTTTATGAAATACATTAGAAAGTGTTCGTTTCGGTATTGTTGATTCCATTTGATTGATTTTAAACCATTGTGTCATTTTTGAGTTTGTACTATGCGCTTGTAATTCTTTTGTAATATATTTTGTATTATTGGATGTGAATAATTTAGTGAAATGTTCTAAATCTTTCCTTTTTTTAGCTTGAGTTAATTTTCGATTTCTTGTTTGAATCACTTCTTTTTTCATAGATAATGGTCGATTTATCTGGGGGGGGGAGGGGGTATCGTTTGTTTTTATTTTTTTCAAAAACAAGAAACATTGAAAAGTAAAATATTCATTTATGATAGATACTATGAGTACAATAATCAATGTGTTTTAGATTTATATATTTAAACAATAGAATAAACTCTATAATTTATTAATGCAACAAGGTAGTGAAATATGTGTAAATTCACTCAAATATTTTGTGCTCAAAATACTTCGTGCTTACTGATGATTTGAGCTTCAATTGACTTTCTAATGTACACTCTTACCATATGACTAATCATGTAAAAAAAACTGGGAAAAACTGATCAAGTTCGTGAATTCGATATATCAACCAATAGTTTTCATCGACGATCACGGATGGATTTATATATTTAAGACTCGAACAAATATTGTTTGATGGAATCATGAAAGCTGATATCTCTAATATTGTACTCATTTATTCTAATAATTACAGGGTTTTTTTATAAGTGAAAAGTTTTGGTTATTAATTAAACTCGTGAAAGAAGTTCCACTCGATGCTCCTAAAGAATAACTGGTATGGAATACAGTTATTTGTAACAATAGAATACTGAATTTAGTAATAATTTTAAAGTATTCATTTGTTCACCATATTTTCATAATAACGATGCTTTAATAAAGCATGGATTATCCTCTAATTTCTCTAAACTAGGTTAATATAACCCGGTGTAGTAATCTTTTGCACTTAGCTAACTAGTGGCGTTAATAGTGTTTTGGCTATCTTCTTCTCCTTTTGACCTTTGTTAAGCAATTATTTCCTGGATTCTCAACCGTATACAGATTTTTGAATGCTGATCGATATTTCTCGGTAAGGAATCTAATCCTTCTCAGCTCTAGGAACAAGCCAATTATCAAGCAGAAAATTTGTGTCAGCCTATAATTCTTATCGTAGAGATTCGCAAAAGTTTTTCTTTAGAACTAGTTTAATTCATCTTTTGTTGCTTTTGGTAATGTTTACCGGTTAAGAAAAAGGTCACAGTTAATCTGATCATGTTTTTTGTCCGCCGTTTTAGAATAAGGTTATAAAATTTACGTTGAGGCTGTGTAATCTAAAGTGATTTACTTACTTTGAGTTTATTTCGTAAATTCATCGAGATTTATAATATATTAAACTTACATGATGTAATTTGTAATAAAGTCCACATGCATTGCATACTGAATCGCCTTGTTGATTACGTCTCCATAATGTTGTATGTGATGTTCGACAATTAGCACAGAATGTACCAAGTTTACGGTTTGCGGACTTAATCAAAATTTAGGTAAATAAAGGCATATAGTATATTTTCATCGTATGATAAGTATATATACATATAAATTTGGAATCACAATAAAAAAAGTATCTCAATCTTGAACCGCGTAAGTTAACAACAATAAACATAAATTAGTAATTTCACCCAGAAAATTAATGCGGTCATGAGTAAAAATAAATATTGATTTTTATAGATCATATTTCGTAGAATCATTTCATTCTGTTCAGTTTCATGAATGATCTTATTATTTTTGATAGTTCTGTTGACAATTCTTGGACTGACAAACTTCCTAACATATTCTCCGTAGTTGCTGTTTTTCAGTGGTGAACATTAATTTGTAAGAGGACATTTATATACTATTTATTGTTGTATCATCTATAAATCTTCAAGATATATAATTATAATATTTGTTCGATCTCAGTACTATACATCGTGAAAGGTATTTGCAAAACTGTATTATTAGATATCTGGTAGTATGTAAAAATTTTGCTTTTCTACGAAATGAATAAATTTATTTCTATTTTGATCTGACTTCTATTCTATAGAATTACCAAATTTCATGTCAGTTAAACACTTTTCTAGAATGATTTATTCTGGGTCAGTGTAATCATTCATTTTCGTGTTTTTACTTCATACATGTAGGAGATAATTGTATAACATTACATCCAATTTAGCTTGAAGAAACTATTATTCACTTTAATATAGTGTTAATGAATAAAAGTTAATGTTTCAATAAACCTATTACTTGTATTAGCTTACCTGTAATCATAATTTGCTAACGCATTTAATATATCATACAATTATTGGTGTTGATGGTATTCCTAAAAAAACCTAGAAGAAATTCTACTTGTATATGAATCATTAGTCAAGTTGGATCAAACTAAAAACTAGAGGTTGTTGCTTTAATTTCACAATTTTCATCATGTGGAAACTTGGATAGACTATGGAAATCTGTTTTTTTTATGTCGGTATTTAAATTGATAAAATATAAATACATCATCAAATCTATATCCTTTAGTTTTTCTTAAAATCCTTTCAGAAATTCATTTAACCGATGGTCTTACTTTAAAAATGGTTATTCTTTTAGACTGATAGGGTTTAAATTTGTCACTATATGTTGTTGTAACTGAAATTATCTAAAAAAATACGAATGTATATATATATATATATATATATATATATATATATATATATATATATATATATATATATATACATGAAGTCAACTAGGTCAGAAGCCAAATAGTTACCCATCGTTAGTATAGGATTAAGATTGATGATATTTCACTTGTCGAGTAATTTGAAAATGATGGATGATTGTATACTAATTTAGTCGTTGAATGTTATATGATTTGGTGATTTTAAATCAAATCACATCGGTGTTAATAGCTAAGGTGAACCAACCATGAAATTCCTCATCGTTTTCAAATGTACTTTATAATTGGTTCCATTTCTTTTTAAAAACTATCTTCAAACGAGGTTATTATCTTAGTTTCATATATACTAGATCTGCGAGTTCCTAATATACTGGAACTTATGTAGTAGTCCTTGATATAAGCTACTATTAAATATCAACAACTAGCAAAAAATGCCATATCTGGCTTTAGTCATGTTGTTTCAACTTACAGATATAATATATTTTAGGAAGTTTCATTTAATTTAGCGAATTTTTGTGGTTTCGGTCGAACTTTAAGAAATATTAGGTTAACTGTATATTTGTCGGCCATTTGTGTAACGTTGAAATCTTTCAACACTTTTGCGATGAAAAAGACACAAATGGTTGATTGTTATAAAATACGCCGAATCATTTTAAAACTTCACACAAAATTCAGGTCGTTAACAAAGTCACATTACTAATAAACTGGTAACAGATTTACCAAACTACTAAAATTTCAATGATATTTCTTTTAATCATAAAGCAGAAACATAGTAAGGCTTAGACCCTGACGAGAGAAGATCTTTAATATAGAAGGGTTAGTAATATATATATAGATAGATTGAACTATCCTTAAATGAGAGCTTATATCTGGATAGGATAAAATTTTCTAAGGGTAAAATATCAAATTAGCAATTTATTTATAAATGCTTTCATTTATAACAAAAGATATTTAGTTTGATATTTCTAAGGATGACCAGTTATTTCTGTTTGTTCACTAGTTATAAATTGATATTTGACCATTTCTGATATGAATTCTTTCTCACTGAACAATCAGTAGTATAATGTACAAGTCTGGAGCTTCTTTAAATCGAAATGAAATGTGTCTTTTTTTTAATTTGAAAAGCAAACTACTACTAATATCAAAATGAACGATTATAAATAAGATAATTTAAATGCTAATTTGAGTTTTTAAAATAGTAGATGAAGAATTGTTTAGTTCGTCCGCTAAACAGTTATGTGTGCATTTAGAGTAATTTTTCTTAGAATCTTTAGTTTTTATCTACATAGAGTAGTGTACATAGATTTCATAGACATTTTACTAGCAAGCAGATAACTAAAGCTGTATGATTATTTCATTTTCTATTACCTTGACGTATTTATTAACTATATACTATGATTAAAAATTGTAAATAAGATGGAAATGTTTAACATAATGTGAATTACCATGCGACGTTTTGGTTTTATCAGCGGTCGATTCGTTCCATTCATTTTATGATATAATCCGCATGCATTGCATAAATAATGTCCAGCTTCATCTCTACGCCATAATGGTGTTTGAGTAGCTCCACAGTTAACACATTCTCGACCATCTATAGAAAATCGTGAATTGGATTATTAGCTTAGAGTAAAATTTAGCGTTAGCCACATAAAAATAAACTGGTTATGAAATAATATAAGATTTTTGAATGTACATGTTTTTCAGCAAAAATATTGTTTCTTTTACTGATTTAAATAGCATATGAGGGACAGTTTATGGTATATGATGTAACCAAACACTCGAACAACCAGTACTTGCATTTAAAGTATTAAATAAATGTTAAGTGAGATTAAAGCAGTGTGGTTCAAATTGTCAAGTTTGTGGATTTTTAGGTGACCTAATTACCACTTAACTGATTAGTTATGATGATGATAACTGTGAGCATTGATAATTTGGTTTGTTTTCCAGTCAAGCACATATAACACGGCACTGTTTAAAGTAGATAAGTTAAATAACACTGTCAAAGCCATCTAAACTATCGCACAACCGAAAAACAATAACAAATTCAGGCGCTTAAATATGAAAAGTTTGAGATTTTCAACTCATAATCCTCAGTGAAAATAAGCTTTCAAATTAAATGTCAAGACAAATACTGAAAAAGTTACAAAATAGCAGTGTTTTAGTTACAGCATCAAGCATTTATAATGGTATAACAAATGAGTTGATATATTAGACATAATCAGAATTGTATTGACCCGCATGTTGAATATGCCGCTTACTTAACTTTCCTCTATTTTCTTTGATACTCGGTTCACCGATTGCGTATTGATGTGTTCTTTCTTACTCACAGGGAGAATTTATTTGAAAATTACAATTTCAAGAGTTTTCTAACTGATGAAATGGATTATTTAGCGAACCACGTTTTGTCATATTGTAATTGACGCTACTGACAAGGATGTTTGTAAGTATTGTGTGGCTGACGTGGTGTCGAATTTGTGCCAATTGTGAAAACTTCCAATGCACTGAAAGCATGGCATTGTCAGAATACTTAGAGATCAGATGGGAAGACAGTTCAGATGGCAGAAAACACTGAAAGATACTAATGGACTATTGAAGGTTATGTATATGTATTGTGTAAATACTTTGTAACTTTTCGCAATAAACATACATTTCTCCTGACTATTGTCGTGGTTTACAATGTAGCAACTAGTTTGGAAGATTTATGCCAGTCATCTGAACTGGACAAATGATGTTCTAAAATTCACCAGATTTTACGAGATATTCAACAAGACCTATTTGTGTGTTAATTACGAGTGACTGGAATGAGAAAGGTGGTTCTAGGAACATACTCTGAACATCTGGCTTTGGTTTGTTCAAGTGAATCCCATTAACTTCGGGTATGTGTAAATAACGAACTTTCATGCCGAGGATAATATGGTAAATAATTCTATAAGTCTTATTTTCACATTCACTCAATGTCTGTACTGTGAATACAGACATTTTTTGGTTCTTTCAGCATGTTCTCTCTCTAATGATGAAGGGTGTTGTTAAAAAAGTGCTATAGCTAACCGATTTAACTGAATATTGTAATATATAACCCCAATTACCACAAGACCGATTAAACAGTCAAGTATGCAATGTGGATTTTCGATTCAGGTTTACTGATTAAAATAAATCATTAGAATCATATCATTTCATTAATTTGTTGATTACAAAGGAATTAGAAATAACAATTATGTTAATGTATGATGTGGTGGTAAATTAATATACACGGAACAAATATGATTAGACAGTCTATTTTCAATCTACAAACTTTAATACTAACGTCGGATAAATAGAATACAACCTGAGAATACTGAACTATATACAGTGACAAAAGTGAATTGTTTAAGTATTAATGAAGAAACTATTGATTTTACCGTCTAAAGTGTATTCGTATAGCTATTTTGAATCGGTTTATAGGATTCATAACATTTACTAAAACTTCAATGACTAGCTTAACGGGGTTGTTGTTAAAAAGACTAAGTAACTGGAACATAAAGTTAAGAAATTTTAATATGGGAAATTTATCTAAGAAATATCAAATATCAGAAGACGTTTTGTGGAGATTTTAATAATTTCACTGATTGAAATCATGAGTCAATTGGAGGTAGAGCACCATGAAAAACCTGGAAGCACTGGACGGCCGTTTCGTCCTGGTATGGGACTCCTCAGCAGTTCGAACCCACGATCTCGTGGATTAGTTGAAGTTAGACCTTGACACCGTTGGATGCCGGCCCAGTGGTCTTGTGGTTAAGCGCATGTGCGCGAGACAGATAGGTCTTGGGTTCGAATCCCGCGGGGGTGAGGTCGTGGATGCGCGCTGCTGAGGGGTCCCATACTAGGACGAAACGGCCGTCCAGTGCTTCCAGATTTTCCGTGCTGGTCTAACTTCAATTGGCTCATTATTTCAACTATTGAAATTTCAAAAATATAAAATTACTTTATCTCTACAATGTATAAGTTTAGAATAATTGTGGCAATATTAATGATAACAAAACACCGATTGACCAAAAGATACATTATTATATTCATATGTTCCTGCATAAGATCAAAATATAGGAATGTGTTCTGCACAATCTGTCTCAGATTACAATAATGGATTAGGATCAAATCAGGATTTAGATGATTATGACAAAAAAATCGTTTTTAGGCACATTTCTTTTATGATAGCATTTAAACTCAATAATGTTGGAATTTTCAATAATAAATTTTTGCCATCTATTAGATCATTGTTTGCTTAGTATCTTGTGAAATGAATGTTATTTACTGAATATTTTGATTAAAAAATACTTATCGATTCCTTCAATTTTTTTGAGATCTGTTCAATATAAAGATAGTCTTCTTGGTCGACAAACATCAGTCAGAAAATCTCTGAAAACTAAGAGGTAGTAGTATTTCCTCAAGGTTTGAAGCCCTTAAGTACTTACTACCCTGAACTCCCTAAACGACGACGTAAAAATATGCTTAACACGATAAGTTAACCGTTGATAATCTCACCACTAGAGCGAAATAGCCATTAGACGCTCTCTAGATTTCCATGATTGTTTCAACTGGTACGAGAATATATGATGAAAACCACCTTCATAGATCAGTTTATAAACTTTGTTCTCAATATGTTAGAATTGATCGACAAACAGGAAACCATGGACCTAGGTTTCTCGCTAGTTGGAACTCACCAACAAGACATACTTACAATCTCGATTAAATCGATGCTAAACGTGGTATTCGAGCATTATAATTTGCTCGATAGAATTCAGCTAGAATTAAGGGATAGACAAACCACTCAATTTTCAATCTATATATCAGTTTCAATAATTAGAACTTTCTTCTTTAGTACCGAAGCTTACAAAACTTCTTCGCCATTCTAGTCAGTTATTGGATTTACTGTATTATTCAGTGTTTAGGAAACCCTGATAAGTGGAAAAGCTATTCAAATGGTAAGTGAGAAGAACTATGGTTTATTGCAATTATTTTTGAATGTATAGACGAGTTCAATCATTTATCTTTCACAATCCGAATAAGTTGATAATAATATACTTAATTGGTTAACTGAATGACACTGGTTCAAGAACTTTTGAAATTTAAAATTAATCACTGGTAACAAGTATTAGTAAATAGTAAAAATTGTCACTATGGTTGTTAACATCTTTCTCATAGACTATAACATCAAATCTAGTACACTTTGACATTAGGTTGTTTCATTGATTGAATGGAATGGACATTTCTTGGTCATCAGATTTTAGCTAAGAATAATCTATATGTATTAACATTCATTGACTAACTTGAATGTATCAATTTTATTTTATATGGTAAACAATCCTTATTCTTTCTAATATACTTTCAATTAAAACATAAGAATGATTATATTACCAATAATAGATAAAGTATGAAATTAGAATTTAACGTGATTTTCATCTTAAACTGACATTAGATATAGAACAGTTGAAAACCGGTGGATATTGATTAACTAGTTCTCTCTACTTAAAAATTTATAACCATAAAACCACGAGGAATTAAAGGTGAGACGACCTTTGAGCGGTGCTAGACTGACAATGTTCACTTAATAACCAGGACCAAATGAAGGTTATGAACCTGTGTGAGGAATTCAAATTATAATTTACAGTTGATGATTAAGCTTAGGAATTAGATTTCGGATTTTCACCACGAGATTACATCAGCTATGATGTCAAAACTCTATCCGAATGGATGAGTGAATTTCGCGCCAAAATCTGAGACCTTTTATCTTATACATGATTGGTTCGTTTATAACTTATAGTCTCACCGAATTAGACTATCTCAATAAAAAAGTTTATCTACATTCTCAACTTCATTTACATTGATTACTTCATTGTATTTTTTATATTTCCTTAACCAATACAAACAATCAATAATTTTGTTAACGATAAAACTTGACATTTAATTTTGATCTGATCATTTTGTTTTGTTTTTTCAGATCAACTCCATTTTCATATTGTCCTATCGACATTTTGTTCTCATTCATTATTATAATTTATGAGTAACTTTCTTAATTTTAAAATTGGTTAATTTACCTGTTAAAATTTTTGTTTTATTTCTTAATTTATTAGCTAATGAAGACATTCTTAACATTTGAACAGTTGTAGCTGGATCTAAACCATGAAAAGCGACAGCAGCCGCTGCTGCAGCTGTCAAATCAGGAATATCTTGTTTAATAGAATTTGTTGTTTTAGTTGTTGACATTATTGATGGAATTGTATTTCCTATAGTCATTGTTATTGTAGTTGATAATGAACAATGTGATGTGGAATTTGTTGTAAATAATAGATCCATTTTGTTATCATTATTTGTTGCCGTTGTTGTATCAATTAAATTCTTAGTAAAAACATCATTTATCAAATCGAAATTCCTAACATTTCTATTAGTTAATGAAGAATCGAATGAATTGAAGATTTGAAATGTATCTGGATAGTTGGTTTGATCTTTATTATTATAACTATCATTATTATTATTATTATTATTATTATTATTGTGTGTTGACATAAAATCTGTATATGTTGAAGAATATAAATTGTTCATACAGTAAATATTCATAAGATTATCATCACTAATATTAGAATGATTATTTTGATAATGTATACTAGAAATAAATGGATGTTGTTTACTTTCTAATTCAATTGAGTTAGGTAACAAATCATTAGTCAATTGACGGAATGAATTTAATGGTATTTCAGATGAAATTCTTATTGAATCATGATCATTGTGTAATTGTGACTCTGGTGTACATTTAAAATTTGTGAATAATTGTTCAATAGATTCTTTATGATTATGGTGATAATATGAAAGATGGGAATTTTGTTGTTCATGACGATTTTGATGATTTTTATTATAACTAATCATACTGTTGTCATTATGATATTGTTGATAAAGTGAAGGAGATATTTGTTCACCTAACCAAGATCCAAAATTTGTCATTGATTTATTCCATGATGAATCAACAGTAGACTGAAAAAGGGATGATGGTCTATAAGTTGGAAAAAAACCCAAAGAAACAGAAGACAGGATGAAATGAGACTAACCTAGAATATTTATTGGCATTGTAGATCAACGAAAGTATAACATTTTTAGGTACAGTTACATTGTACTGTCAGTCTTGAGCAACTACAAAAAAGATGGTGAGATTTTCATGGCACTTATCAATTAAGAAATAAACAGTTAGTTTAAATCAACAATGTTTCACTGAAAAAGTAGTGAAGCACAAATAAGTTTAGGAACTTGACAAAGATCGTGATATTTTCAAGGTTTATAACTTGTATTTTCATCTTAATACTGAATTAATTTCATTACGAAAACTGAACCCTCTAATGGAAAATGAGTTTCCCCATTGATCGTTTATGAAGCCAGAAATAGTCAATAAACGATTTTATGTTACCTTTGTATGATATTCATTATGTAGTTTCTACTAGTGACGTTATTTATTTCCTTGATTTTTCTTAAAAGAAACTAAACAATGTAGGGTATTACATTATTTAAAAGATAGATTGCTAAAAAGTTGGCTCGAACCCTTCTAGAATCCTGAATGTTTATTTTTCAAATCGTATTTATAATTCGTTTATATAATATATCATCAATTTAGCTTTTAATGATTAATCTTATTACCTTGTAGTTAGAAAATATCCACCTAATCAATAGATGAATATTACAGATTGAAATCACGAGTCAATTGAAGCTAAACCATCATGGAAAACCTGGAAGCACTGGACGGCCGTTTCGTACTGGCACGGGACTCCTTAGCAGTGCGCATATACGACCACGCACCCCGTGAGATCCGAACCTAGGATCTATCAATCTCGCGCCAGGCGCTTAACCAACTAGACCACTGAGCTAGCCGGCATCCAACGGTGTTAATGTCTAACTTTAACCAATCCACGAAGTTGCGCCACCGTACACCATTGTCTTCAATGAGTTGATATCTTACAACAGACCTGGTTGAACTCCACTGGTATCGGCTCCTCACTAGAACTCCAGGAGTATCTCATGAAGTCAGTCACTAGTGAGCAGATGATTATTATCAGAAGGGGTTTGTGGAGATTTTAGAAAATTCACAGATTGCTGAGGAGTCCCAAACTGGGACGAAACGAACGTCCAGTGCTTCCAGGTTTTCCATGGTGGTCTAGCTTCAGTTGACTTATGATTTCAATCTGTAAAATTTCTAAAATCTCCACAAACCCCTTCAGATGAATATTAGTTGGTAATCGTTTGATAGTTTAAATTAAGCAGTTTAGGTAGTCTCAAAATCAATGATTACAGTAATAATTATTATAACTTATGAATAGGATTACATTGCATCATAGTTAATTGGATGATAGAAATTTAAATATTCAATAGTTAGTAATCATATCTTTTTCGTTAAAGAGTCAAAATTTATTGAAAAACTAAACTAAGTTTATTCGCTCTCATCGTATAGATTTCAATACACAGTAATTGAATTAGTAAACAACTGGTTATTGTACACATATGTATTTTGACAGTTGAATTTACGAGTTAATCTAAACAAAACCACTACTGAGAACCTGGAAGCACTGGGCAGCCGTTTTGTTCTAGTATGCGACTCCTCAACGGTGCGCATCCGCGATCCTGCACGCAGGACATACATATTTATTTATTTTGATAAGTAAAACGTTTATACACTATTTATAAAACGAATTTACTATTATTATATTTGGAACCATGGCTCCTCACTTCACTTCGTTTCTAACCGATTTGATACAAAAAGAATTCTCTGAGTGAATCTGTCATTTAAAACTGTGTTTACATAATCTGATCAATAATCAATTCCTATTTGCTACGTTAGCCTTTGTTGAGATTAGAGCAAAAATTTGTTGAACAGTCGGAGTTTTAAAAAACTAACATAATAAACTGATGTCAACTAAATGTGATTATTAATTAGGAGTTATGATTGAGTCAATAATGAGAAATTTTGTAGTTTACATAATTGAAAATCAATGAAAAACAGGCAGTGGTGAAAGGCTGTTTTGTGTTGGTGAACACTGTTAAAGAGTCTCATACTATGATAAAACAACTATCCAGTACAACTTTGTTTTCACCTGTTGTCTAAATAAAGTCCATTCATGATGCAAATTGTAAAAATTCAACAATCTCCATAATACCCTCCTCTATTGTGAGTAAATCTGACAGTATGGATATCATTGTTCACCTTGATTAATAAATTGTAATTTACTTACATATTTGTTGTGTTTATTGAATTTTGTATCTCCTCTTCATTTTTCTCTTCTGATTCACATACGACACTTTTTTCTTCTTGTTTACAACAATTCATGATAGGTGAAATTAATGATGATGGTGATGATAATGACATTGATAATGAACTAGAGTTAATGTTATTAGTTTCTTTACTAAACAACCCATAATGACGTTTGTTATCTGTAGATCCGATAAACAAGTGATCAGGAATATGAATTTTATTATTAGGATCATTATTACTTAAGGGAGTTGGAATTCGTAAGTTATTAGCGTTCATTGAAAAGCTGGATACTTTAGAATTATTTATAATAAATGGCTGTTGTTGATCTTTCTCCACATCTCTATCTTCTTCCCCACCATCTTCCTCCTCCTCCTCATCATCGTCATCATCATCTTCTTCATAGTCTACGTCTTCGTCATTTTCATGGTTAACTAATTTACTTATCATAGTAAATTCATTTTCTCTTCGCAGTAAATTATCACCAACATCTTTCTTTTCTGAATATAATTTATGATGTTTATTAAGATCACCAAAAGTATTTGATAACACTGATGATTTCTCCCATTCATTGTTTATCCAAGTGTCTGGCTTACTAGCTCGTTGATTATCTGATGTAGTATATGATTAAATTTTCAAAACAAAAACAAAAAACAAACATTCAGTAAGCATATTTAAAAGAATGCCAATTAAAAGGTGTTAGAAATTCGAAAATTTCGTCCAGTATAAATTTATATGAAGTCTTGCTAAATGTTATAAAGACGTGAATAGATAATTCACTCTTGTTCGGGACTCTTCAATAGTTCATTTCAACAACCCCATACGGAATGTGAACCAATGTTATTCGGACATTGCTTCCAGTAAATGAATTATATTCAAGTGGTTCGCATTTCCAAATTTAGTTAATTCTTGATTCGGAGTAACCATCATTTAATTCCATTTGTAATAGCTGTCTTACCATCTACATTATCGTTTACGCGGACATTGCCACTGATTATTTAACGATTTATTGATTTGATACCATAGTTCCTTTCAGGTAAATCTAATGTGAGCAGTTATATTTTAACAGTTTTCCTTACATGGTATTTTTTTTCACATATCAGAAATGTTTGGAAATTAAACACATCAGTTTTAAGTATTGTTTTATTCAGTCTTATATGGTAGAGAAAATTGCTTAAGAGAATGTTTAGGAGAATTCAAACTATCTATTGAATATTCCGCGAATTCCGTAACGTCTGTAAGTGAGACCAGTATAGGAAACTCATCTTTTCGAACACCAAAACAGTCTGAATATAGTCAAATTCAATGTGTTTTAGATAAATATCCTTTTTTTTACAATGATCAGTGTTCGACTGAAATAACTGTTTGTTTTTTTAATATTTAACTACTTCATTCATCAGAGATGACTGAAGTATATAGAAACATGTAAATTTTATCAAAAAAATATTTATTTTAATAGTTGAGATCATGAGTCAATTAAAGTTAGACCACCATGAAAAACCTGGAAGCACTGGATGGCTGTTTTATCCTAGTATGAGACTCATCAGCAGTGCGCATTCACGAGTCCGCCTCGCGAGATTCGATCCCAGGACCTTTCAGTCTTGCGCGCCAGCGCTTAACCTTTAGACCACTGAGATGGTCGCATCCAACGGTGTGAATGTCTAACGTCAACTAATCCACAAAATTGTGCGACACATCCACCATTGTCTTCAGTGAGTTACTATTTCACAACAGACCCGGTTGAACTCCTCTGATCACTACTTCTCACTAGAACTCCAGAAAATATTTTCGAAACCAGTCACTACTGAGCATTTGTTGATTAGTATCTGAAAGGCCGTCCAGTGCTTCCAGGACCTTTTTATTCGTTTCATGATGTAAAATGAATTATTACCATCAGAAAACTATTAGTAAAATAATTTATTATCAGAAACATGGTTTTTTGGAAATTGTAGTAATTTAACATTTGAGTTCATGAATCGATTAAAGCTAGGTGACCATGAAAAATTTGAAGGCACTGGACGGTCGTTTCGTCTTAGTATGGGACTCCTCAGCAGTGTGCATCCATACAAGAATTTATATAACGTTGATACCAATGAAATAAATGAAGAATTGAATATCATTCTTTCGGTGGGATTAAATTTTTTCTGTAAGTCAATGAACTTTTTCGTATTTGTAACTTCATTTAGTGTTGTTTTAAGAACCAGTCACTTGGAACAAGATTTCTGGGTAGCCAAATTCGATCTTTCTTATGTGGCTTAAAGTTTCCAATGTAATGATTTAAAAAGCATTTTGTTTCACTCTACTCCAGTTGAATTTTTGTTAGTAATACCTTTTTGAACGTAGTTTCATATAGCATTACCATGTCGTAGAATATCTAACAATTCAGAGATGATAAACTCCGTAGTAGGGATTTCATATCTGTAGATCACTTGAAGTCATTTTTGAGTATCCCATAGACGCTAAAGGCATAAGTGATGGAATTGAACTATGTTGAATTATTATGTGATTTTCCAGTATATTATTAGTAAAATTAAGTTAAACTATGATGGTTGATTGATAAGCATCAATGGTTACTAAGATCCGATTTTCTCTACACGGGTAGTAGGGAATAATGATGTTGTTTAGAATGACAACAAAAGCTTCTCTCTTTAACTTATAGAACAAATATCAACCAAACCTAATTGGTGGTAGTTAGTTTGTGTGTATCATTTACTAATATGATTTACCTGACACATGTCACTAAGTTTAATAATTAACAGTTCAGAAAAGAAATATTAGAAACAGATAACAACATGATTGTAACTTTAGCTTAAAATTAAAACACTTATCGTTTTGTAGTTTTAAAACAGATAATATGAAAGATTATGATAGAACAACTTGAGATTTCACAGCCAAAAAAGGTCTTTAAAAATTATTTACACTTTCTATTAGCATGTTAACAATTAGGCATCATGCAAGGCAGAGAAGATATTTGATGAGAAATTTTCACGGTAATATCAGTTGTCATGTTGACACATGTATGTACACTTTTGGTAGCAGGTATCGAAGTTAATATTTCAAAGGATTCAAAATAACCTTTTCTTTTATTCTGTTGCGTCACTATTTCAATAAAACATTCACAAGAACAAACAGATAAACAATTTTTTCTGTTCGATAACTTGATGGGAGAAGTTAGAAATAAATGAAAGAAGGTTAAATATCACTGAGAAGATGATAACTAAGGAATTAGATACAAGAAAATATTTAATATGATCATTCAATTATCCATTCACTGTTTAACCTAAATATTTAAGCTCACATAAATGTATACATATTAAAATCATAAAAAAATTTATTTCCCTTCGCTTATTTCATTATTTATTTATAATGAGTCTCTTAGGAATATTGAATCAATCGATATTTATGATTTTGTCATTATCATCTATTGATTTTAATGATAATAATAAGGATAATGATCATAATCTTGATGATACTAATGATAATATTCAGGGTTCTTTTACATTTGTTTTTTCCCCCCTTAATTCTCTTGTGATATAATAATAATAATAATAGTGATAATGGTAATAACAGTAATAATAATGGTAATAATGGCAATAATAAAAGTAATTGCCAACAATGAAATTACCATGTTTTACAGGACTTTTTTTCTCTTTCGTTTATTTATTAGTGATTTTGATAACAGATGTTCTATGTAAAAGTTAATTTATGTTCTTCAATCATAAGAGTTTAGTTTACCTATCAACATTGATTCAAGAGAGAGAGTGAGAGAGAGAGAGAGAGAGGAGGAGGAAACAAACAAATACACACATATTTTAATAATTCCTCTCTATTTATGCGTTACACTATTCAGTATATATGAAAGAACATCTTCCTTTATAAGATGTAAATTACTCTTAGGGACTTGTAATAAAAATCTATATCAACTTCATTTAACTATTAAGTTTTTTTTACTTGTTATTATTGCTGTGGTTGTGTTCTTTCCTCAGTTTTTTTATTATTTTTTGGGAAGAAAAAAATGAAAACTCCTTTTTTCGTTGGTTTCTCAAATAAATTTATGACTTTTTGATAAAGTTTAATACATAAATTATTGTCTATTATACTAATTAATAGATGTTGTGTTGAAGTCTATATGGATTTATTCCTGTTAAGATAAACAGAAAATACAATTCTTTGAATAAGCTGAAATTATTAGAGTTCATTGTATTTGATCATTATCAATCTACATTATAAGACTGAATGAGAACAAGTTATGATAAGACATACGGTTTAGTTAATAACAGTTGAATTAATGAGTTGATCTATGCTACATCACCACTGAAAACCTGAAAGCATTGGACAGTTGTTTTGTCTTAATACGAGACTAATCAACAGTGTACTGTTAATTTAATAACATAGTCAAGAAGGACTTCTTTCAATTAAAGAAGTTCTTCCTTTTACAGTAACCTAAATGAACACTAAAGTAGGATAACCATTTATTTCTATTATGAATCATGTCTGGTAACACATTAAGCCACTGAGTTGCACCATCTGTGGGATCCCAACCAGAAAGTCTTAATGAACTGATAGATGCTAGTCCTATATAGTTGTTTTCCCTATCAAGGTGTCATGTCATAAGCTATAACTAAAGTCACCCTTTGATGTGAAATTTCAAATTCAACAGCCTCTACTTTATAATAACGATTTAATTTATTGAATTTGAAGGTTATATAATAATACCAACCAAATCTAGAAAGATTAAAATAATCAATGAAAAGATAGTCAGCTCTATTACACATGGCTCTCATAATTACATTCAGACAATATAGTTTAAAGATAACCAAAAATTCGCTTCTATCGAACAACAAGTGTACATTATATGAAGAATAACGTAGAATAACATGAATTACATACATTTCGTTAGGTGATCGTCAGTTGCTCGCATCTTATGATATTTTGTAATAAAAATTATTAATCAAGTTAACATAAATATACAAGCCAAATTTATGAGACGTGATTATTTATCTTCACTATGGAATGGCGATTGGAATTGTAAGCATAGATAATAAAGTCAAAAAGTTAGTTGATTATGTAATAAAGTAGATGAACATAATTTTATGATAATTAATAATAACATGAGTTGAGATCAATCACTTAGAAATAAAATTCTGAATTTGAAAGATTTAAAAATGATGCATTTGAAGTAAACGAAAGAGTTGTAAAATATAGTGTAACAAAACCAGGGTAATATTACCACCGTAAGGAAAGATTTACCACTGTTTCTTTTTGAAGATCTAAATCTGATTACAGACAGTTGTTATGGCTTCAAAAAATTCAAGAAGACTAAAGTTTGGTTGCCCATTAATCACAGTGAAAGATTTCAATGTATCAACCTGATTTCCTGTGTCAAAGTGATGTCTTGAAGTAACACTAGTGAAAGCCTCTAATCCCTTTGACCTTAAACTTTTTGAAAGGTTATTTTTAGCTCTATGACTTTTCATTATTATTCTGAAGTTCTGCAATCTTCTCTTATATACCGTATATATTTGAAGCATTTTCTTCTGTCTTCTTAAGACATTATTTCAATTGCCATTCTATAGTGATGATAAATAATCACGTCTCACAAATTTGGCTTGCATATGTATGTTAACTTTATTAATAATTTTGATTACAAAATATCATAAGATGTGAGCAACTGATGATAACCTAACGAAATGTATGCAATTTATGCCATTCTACCCAAATTTTTGTTTTTGCTTGTTCCGAAATAATCAATTGAACTATGTATATGAAAAGTGACTAATAATTGACATTTACTTTTCAGATTTTCGGAATCAGTCATAAACACTTGTATAATTTTATTCGCTTTAATCAATAGGATCTCAGAAAATATAGCAACAGCAAAAGTAATTGCTCGAATAATTCTACATATTTCTTGACTGAACTCCACCTAGAACTCTTCTAGAGTTACTAGTAATCCTGAGATCTTTAAAAGAAGGGTTATCAGTCCTACTTCATAAAAAGTAACTACGCTACAAAACCCCTAACTGGAGGAAACCGACTAATTTTTTCTCTGAAAACTGAACGCTATTCATATGAATGAGTAATAACACCTCATAGTGGAAGCTGAGATTCTGTGAAAGGCATCAAGTAAACTGTCTTTCTGATTGACTTTGAAATTTAAATTTACATGAGCTTGACAATGAAACTATAAACGGGATTTAACTATCATGGTTATCACTAATTACTTCGGCAATAATAGAACAAGTTAATTATACTTCCTATAGTAACAATAAACAAAGCAATGGACGAATTGATGTCTAAAAATATAATGTAATTAAAACGATAAAAAGCAAAAATAGTTAATAACTTCAAGTTATAGTAATGTTGAAAGGAATGTGGTTGAATAGTTCTAGAAATACTGGAACATTGTTTTTGATATTTCGAGTTTACAAAGTAGAAAATAATCGAGGATTTGAATGTGTCATTTGACTAAGTATTAAAATAAATTACGTCATTCGGCCTGAAGAAATGAATTTAACTTATTTTGGATATTAACTATCATCAACTTTAGATATATTCAGTATTGAAAGATTAGCTTTCTCTAAGTGAGTGAAATTCAAAAGCTAAATGATTCAGAATAATCGGCCGCATAGAGGATAACTCACGTCTTGAATATATCCAATTAGTTGCTTCCTTGTTCATAGCAATATCATATAGAATCTGTAATTTCTAAATTATCATATAAATATTTAGATGAATTCTTTAGGGGTTAGTAATAGTTGCTAGACGACGAACTGCGCTTGTAGTTTTCAGTCATTGAGTGTCTGTCAGGGTCATGTGATGAGATACAGATTTCCTAGTTGAAGTCTGTGTAATAGTTTAAACTTATGTTTGCAGTAGTGAAACTGTATCCACTTTTTACTGTTCCCTATACCTTGAACTTAACGTCATTTCATATTCATTCGTGGACTTCATCCATTTCTTCTGAGCGAGCATTTCTATTTTTGACTTCTCATTTCGGTTGATGTTATCATTTCTTCGTTTCTGATTATTATCCTGCTTATTATTATTCGTACTGTATTGATTTAATATGTAACAAATGAAACCCATACTTATTTAAATCAGGTCTTGCTTTGTCTACGATTGACTGACTGAAATCTATACTATAATATTCTTAATGATGAAACACAGTGAACGAAATCATCAATCCTATTCATACCTCGTATAATTCTCTCATTTATATTAGTGACTAATAATGCCATGATATAATTTAATTGAGTAATAGTTACCTAAGATAATTAATTCATCACAGAGACTTCGTAGAAGAGCAATGTATTCCAAGCATATTTTTAATATGATCGAAATAAATCGGAATTCATCATTATATCTGATTACTGTAACAATGATCCAACCAACAACAAAAATGCCGTTAAGGTCGTTTCCTTGGTAAGTTGGTTTAAAGGGAGATATCTCTAGAAAACTGTTTTGTAAATTGATGACTGATGAATGTTATTCATTTTGGAATAAATTATATCTGAGAGATTAATATTAAAGTTTTTTTGATTCTGAATATTTTCAAAAATTACTGAAGATTTTCCAAAAGATCAACCGCTATTGAAAGTGGAACTAATAATAATAATAATAATAATAATAGTAATAATAATGATAATAATAATAATAATAATAGCGATCATAAGAATAATCACGAAGTTTTTCTACTGAAATAACAATTAACTGAAGAGACTTTGTTGAGAATTTGTAGATACTTAGTAGGCAATTTCTATCACAAACTGAAGTCAGTCAGAAATTTATTGAGACTGAATAAGGATCAGCTTATATCACAAATTCACCGAAAGTAAAAGCATGAATCGCTGAATTTTAACATAGCTATAAAAAGTTATTTCACTTGCTATGACATTTCAATTTCCTGGCTTATATTCTGTGTACCATAATGGGTAAACAACATTAATACCTCCCCACAACAAAAGTAGAATGAAACAGTGTTCTACACCAGTGTTTTCTGATAGTCAGTTCACGTTTAATTCGTAAAAGCTGCTTAACTTAGATTTATGCTGTTATTTACTATGAAGATATGATATTTATCAGTTAATACATATCCACTATCACACTTCTATATCAGATTATTCAAATATACACTACTTATTCACCGGGCTAGAAATTAATGGCTAATTTGAATATTATGGATCCCAAATTGAATACCATAATTTCTTTGTACAGGGAGATCGTCAATTTTTTTTCTTAACGTTATCATGTAATAATGAAAGTCGTAAGTTTAGCACCCTTCAGAACTGAATTAGTTTTGCACAGTCCTATAGATTCTCCATTTATTTAGAAATTCCAATGGTACGAAATTCAAATTTTGATAATTTTCAAATGTGTAATATTAACAATAAAGTATGCATATAAATATAATGCAATAATATTGATCGGTGTAAACAGAAATTTAAGTTGCAAAGAGAAACTTACTTATCATTACATCATCAGTAGAATGGATTGTATAAGTTTCTAAAGAATGATCATATAATAATTTATTAATACTGCTAGTACTATCATTAATAACTGAGGAACTCATTAGTACAATGGTATTTTTGATGATTTATGCATTAAGTTGTTTGTCCATAGTTACTCATAGCTTAGACATGATTTTTCTAAAAAAAATATGTATTGTGAATGAACTATTTTGATAGATCTTTGTATAAGATAAGAGAGAATATATATGACATGATTGAAATCTCTCTTACATCTGTGTTATATTATCAGTTGAGCTGCCACGGGGTTACACAAACCGTTTACATTTTCTCTCCCACACTTGTTTTCACCTCTATTATAGAAGTGAGTGGTAAGTATATTTAGTTTTATGACATTTTAACATCAATATTAGCTTTTTAAGAGAATTTTTAAATCATCTATTTACCTATCTAACCAGGCAGAACGATAAATGTTAAGATAACCATTAGAAATAACAGGGAGCATTTTCGGAGAGACTTAGATGAGAAAGAATAGAAGAGATTGTAAGACAGACGATAGAAGATGGGAGATTAGATGAATCAGGTTACATGTATCTTTGTCTTGTGTATTAAATTCACGTTGTTTACTAAGTGACAAAATTAGCAGGAAGATGAATTAAGTTGAACAGGCAAATATAGATTGTAAGATAGAAAGATGGATAGATAGATAGGTAGATATTTAAATGGTAGATGTAAGTAGTCAGACCCACTTTGTTAGAAAAACAAAATACATGTGAACCAATAGTTGTATTAAAAGGGGTGACTGTAATCAATTTATTTTGAAAAACGATTATCAGTTTTATTATAATTTTCATTCCATTCTATTCTATAATGAATAGTTAACCAATAAAATGCATAGATGAAGCGAAATCTGTTACTGATTATTTTAGAAATTGTCTATCCTTAACTGACTTTTATTGACAATTGGGGTAGATTGATTGTAACCTAAAGAATATAATATACTAATTTTCCTTAATTAACATAGACTGAAGAATCAGTGAATCTCAGAGAACGTTGAATAGATTTTATGCTTTATTTTGGGACCGTTTAGTGGCGTATATCCACTGACGGAGAAAGAATTTTAACAGTTCTCCAGTCAATGTATTTTCTTATCAAAACCAGTCTCTAAACTACCAGAAATTTGAACAATACATTTAAGCAAATATTTTTGTTAATAATATATAGTTTTATATTATTAATGGTTATATTGTAATTTAAATGAATTGAATGGTGCTGATATTCGAATGTCTGAATTGATTCGCAAGGGTAGTTTAGAAAAAACAACTAAGTATCAGACAAATATCTCATTATGTTTTAGAATTTTTCAGCAGTGACAATCCACTTTTTCCATAATTTTATTTCATAAAGTCTTAGAATCACTAGTCAGCCTGATGTACCTATAATTTTGAGGAAAGTGTTTCGCCATGGCTGATTGGTGACCGCGTTACCCAGTTTCATAATCTGAGCTACTTGACCCTTTACTGAACTCCTGTAGGACTGAGATATTACTAGTTGATTGAATATATATTCCCTTTAGTCATTTTTACTGCTGATCAAATTCAGTCGGTCGAGGACTAGATAAACGTGGCATTGAACACTATTTAGTGACCAGTCACTTGTACAGTGAGAATAACTCTATTTAATATCTTGTGGATAAAAAAATAATTTTTGATGGAAACAAGCACTGTCTTCATTTTATGAAGGACTCATTTGACTCAACAATTAAAATGTTGATTGGTTAAAGTGAAGTCATATTTATATCTCTTTCCCCAGTAACCAGATAATTTAATAAGTTACAATAAAGTACTTCTTAATTTAGAGTTTGTCATTCTCGTGTGATTGCTTTCTATCACAAAGTAAAGGAGGTTGAAAATATGAACGACTGATTTCGGCAACTAAGACGTAATGTGTATGTTATTAAATCAGAAGGTCCGGTGTTCTAACTGCTATGGGATTATGGATATGCAATTTTGAAGTCTCAAAGATAGAACACAACCAGCGTTCAGTAATTTCTGGTTTACACTGAATCCTTAGTGGTTATTATTTATTGAACAAGATATCCTAGATGTTCTAAATTCTAAAGTTCATTGTTGAAACAATATTTTGTATGAGAAAATGAAGCTCTCCTTATTTTAGATATTAAAATTACTGAAATACACACAATGAAATACCGATATTCTTAAAAATATTATATAGAATTAGGAAATTAGTGAAAAGGCTTTGTCTTCTTGAGCAGACTTCAAGTTCATAAAAAATTCTTAGATATATCACAATCATTATATGCAGTAATAACATATTCATGAAGAAAGTATTTCTTAGATGAATTTCATATTTTGTTAAAACAACACTATTCTTTTCTAATGTACTTACTTATTTACTTACGTCTATTACTCCTCGTGGAGGAGCATAGGCCGCCCATCAGCACGCTCCATCCAACTTTGTTCTGGATAATTCTTCTCATTTTTTATTCATCCTTTTCATACCTGCTTTTGATTCTCGACGCAGTGTGTTCTTTGGCCTTTCTCTTTTCTTTTTCCCTTCAAGATCCTAAGTTAGTGCTTGCCTCGTGATGCGGTCTGATGATTTCCTCAATGTATGATCTATCCACTCCCAACGTGGTTGTCTAATTTCCTCCTCAGTTGGAAGCTGATTTGTTCTATCCCACAGTAGGCTGCTGCTGATGTTATTCGTCCAACGGATATTGGGTATTTTGCGTAGACAACTGTTTATAAATACTTGTACATTTTTGATAATGGTTATAGTAGTTCTTCACGTCTCAGCTCCGTACGGTGTGTGTCATTATGAAAATATTCTAAACATTTTTAAACCATACTCAGTTCTCCTCTGTTTACATATATCTGCTCCTCTAAGATATTTATTTAAATAATGTTCTGTGATGATATTAAAACATAAAATTAACGGTTTTAGGCCTAGATTTTCTATAACTGCTGTCTCCAATAAATGAATTAGTTAGATTTTAGTATTTGTCTAAATAAGATTTTTATCATTTAATCATATTCATGATTTTTTTCCTGGTATTTTTCAATACTTTTTAATAAAACTAACCAGTTATTTTTATTCAACAAAATATTCCTTTCCCTCAAAATGACTATTTGAAGATCATCTCACATTCAGGTCAATTACTTATATTTATTAGCACGATGTTTCAGCCGTGTTGAGGTTGGTCAAGCCAACTGGTTTTTCTGGAAATAATTTCCGTTTTGCAAGGCTCACAAACTCACCACGTGGATGTGATTTTGATGGGAAATCGTTATCTCCGTGTCTCAGCGCGCGGGCGTCGCACCAGGGACGAGTTTATTCTACATGTATTCCGGTAACACATAAGTTTTCACTAATGCATCCCGTAGCATATTTTTAAGTATGTTCACCCACTTGGGAGGCTAGATGATCACCGCCCCTTTCGAATATATTCGTTACAACTGACTGTTGCCTACGAACTACATGCATATCACTGGTACAAAGACTTCTGCCTCAGTACTTCATGACATACAAATAAGCATAAGCACTATTTTAGGGAGGGTTTATGGTCACCTCTCCCTAGTTCTTGCTACCATATTTATTTTTATTGTATCTTCGACCTAAATGATTAAGTCGCTTATTTTATTAGACATAAGGAAACATTTTTCAGTTTATGTTCGTTGTGCTAACGTACACGCGTACCCCTTGCATATACTTATATACATAAAGCACACAAACGAAGACTCATTTAATTCGTATATATAAGCATACACATCAGGTGGCCAGCAAGATTTCAGTGAGCCCCGAAATTGGAACCTAGTTAATCCGGTTTATGGCAGATTGATGGATCAGTCCGATCTCTACCAACCGCCCAAGTTATAGCTAGCAAGATTACCCTCACTACCTAGCAGTGCCACGAGGAGGCCTTAGGTTGAATTTTACTGTTATGTGTTTTAGTAATTTAATTCACTTTTTGTAACAATATGAATAATTATGTAAGTACATCCAGCTTACTGGGAAGTTTTAAGTTCACAAGGCATATCATGAATTTAATTGATAGAGAATAAACTTAAATAGTTACAATAAAGTTCGGAAGTATGAAAAAAGCTATTTATTCATAAAAAGTAAGTTAAAATGATGTATAACTTTTTATCTTAGTTAATTCATTTTAAATATCTATTTTGAATTTTCAATGGATTAATTCTGTTTTGTTGCCTATTCCATGTTAATTCTTTCATCGTTCCATTCTAATTGTTCTGTTTATTTTGTGTTTCTGGATATAGTTTTTTGTTTCTTCTTCCCCTTCTTCTTCTTCTTCCTCTTCTCCTCCTTCTTATCTCCATCAAAATAACTATCATAATCATCAATCAGTGTTTTCATATTTATCATTGTTGTGTTTATGTTTCATACTACTATAATATTTAATATTTACATTTTAAATAATCATAATACAAAATGAAAATTTATCTTATAAGTAAAATGACAAACTTGAAAAGAAGCCATTTCATTCGATTACTTAAACATTATTTATATGGAGATGTTATGTAGACAAAAGTGATTGAGTTTGTAGGTGTTAGAATAATCGAGATTTATTTTTCTCTCTTTATTCTTTTTTTCATTATAAAATCTAATCATGATAAGGATAGAGATAAAAAAAAGAATGAATAGAAGAATTATATTCACCATAGAAGTAACGTAATCATTATAATTTGTAGAAAATAAATAATAACTGTTAGTAATGAATACATTTTAAAAATGATTTCTTCTCGGGGGGGGGGAGATAGGAAGAGTGGGGGAGGGAAGGAAGGAGGGAGGGAGAAGTAAGCAATGTCATTTATTGTATATTTAAATGAACATTTTATAAGGCATAGATTTTATTTACATATTCATATATTTATTTATTCATTCATTCACTCATTTACTCATAGAATGAAACAAAGTATCAGTAAAATCATCAAATGAAAGGGTAAGAAGCAAAGTAGAGAAATCGGTGAGTGATTCTGAATTTTCCTTGTTATTCCTACTCATATACTTCTCCGCATATTATTATTATTATTATTTTTGTTGTTGTTGCTCACAATTGTAATTTCCTTTCCCTTCTTCGATTGTCTTTTATTCGTTTAGAATTGTTATCCATTTTCATTTATAACAATTCACCTTTCATTTTCTGTATACAATTAGATTTTGTTTGTTTTGTTTAGAAAAAAAGACAATCTCTTTGGTTTATTATGATGCAAATGGGATAACTTGACAATAAAGTAGTAGGTTAGGATTCTTATCATTCATTATCATCACCCATGCTCTTTCGCATTGATAAACAAACTGTAAACGATAACGACTATAAGAATACTGAGTATAACTATTCAGATATA